CACTAGAGTGGTTGCTGCCTCCACAGCCTTCCTGAAGGGAGTACCGCTCCATGACACCTGGGCAACCTCTTCCATGTTTGCTGCTGTTGTTTCTGACTTCAGCAGCTCTAGGTGTCTAGCAGTCTTGTCTAATGTATTTCAAACTGTACACTTTGCTAGATAGGATGCACTTCATCAAATAATTGAAGTCTGTGTTCTTCTATTGCTTCTCTTGGTGCTGCATTCTCATAACAAAGTTGTTTCCTACACTGATTCCAAGACTACTGTGTAGCACACAGGGGTCTTTGGACTTGTAAAACTCTATGCTGCTTTAGCCTGCTTTTTTGTAATACTGTGTCTCTATACAGCTCCACGAGAATGTGAGGAGGATGAATTTTCATGTCAGAATGGATACTGCATACGCAGCCTGTGGCACTGTGATGGAGACAACGATTGTGGGGACAACAGCGATGAACAGTGTGGTTAGTGGCTTGACAGTGATAAGTAGCAAGTTGTTAGGTACAATATTTGTACAGCTGTCTTTTATTCCAGAGTTGTTTTGGGGACAGTTCATTGGAAAAGAGCTTGGATGAATTTCTGTCCTGGGGTCATGGCATAGATGTCTCCTTGAGTAGAGCAGACAGGAGGGTTCTCTGAAATTTTGTTGATCATGGCCTGCAAATGATACATTTAGAGCTACAGTATATTGCCAGTTGTGAATGTGCACTGTAGCACAAGTGGCTGGTTGGTTAATGTTTTTGAGTTCAAAACAGAGGTAAATATCTGTAGTTAGGTCATTGCAGTAGGAAATAAAAAAGTTTGGCATTACTAACCTAGCAGATAGGAACCATTGTAGAGGAAAGTTAAACTTTCAGCTTGGTGAATTGAGCAACTGGGGCCATGTTGTTTGTCTACACCACCAACACCAACAGCTTCTAGATAGTCTGGGTTGCATGGTTTGTCTTGCAACCCAGACTATACTACCTTGTAGAATATAAGCAGCTTACTGTAACTTTGTTGTGAATTTATATCTGTTCAGAATTACTTTAAAAATAAAAAACCCATTGGTCATATTAAAGAGAAAAAAGAGGGAAATGACAATCTAATGTGGAGAGTAGATTTGTGGGCTAGGGAAAGAGGTCGGTTAAGCAAAGCTTGGAAAAGACATGCCAATTGTGAAGTTCTGGGAGTTTATTTGTTTATTTAAAAACATCTATTCTGCCTTTCACCCCAAAAAGACCCAAGGCCTCTTACATCACTAAATCAGTATTTAAAGGCTAAAGCAGTAAGTATACAAATATTAAAAAAAGAATTAAATAAGTATTAAAGCAGTATTGAAATGGTAACTAAGGTCAATATTAAAACACATTTAAAACACATTTAAAACATCAGAGCACAACAGTACATTTAAAACCCCTTCTCAGACCACCAATCATTAAGGAAAAACCTGCCTGAAGAGAAAGGTCTTTGCCTACCTGTGGAAGGACAGCAAAGTTGAGGACAACCTAGCTTCCTGTGGGAGGGAGTTCCAGAGTCTGGGAGCAGCAGTAGAGAAAGCCCTCTCCTGTGTCCCCAATAGACATATCTGTGAAATTGGTGGGACGAAGAGAAAGGCCTCTCCTGATTATCTTAATGCCCGGGCAGGCTCTTAGAGGGAGATGAGGTCTTTTAGATAGCTTGGACTTAAGCCATTTAGGGCTTTGTAGGTTAAAACCAGCACTTTCAATTGTGCCTGGAAACAGATTGGCAGTCAGTAGAGCTGTTGTAACAGGGTTTTTACATATTCCCTGTAACCAACCCCAGTTAACAATCTGGCTGCAGAATTTTGGACCCTTTGGAGTTTCCGAGCACTTTCCAAAGGCAGATCCATGTAGAGTGTGCTACGGTAATCCAACTGAGATGTAACTAGGGCATGTATTTTCCCAAGCTTCAGTTTTAAGGCACCCTCAAGTGCTGAATGAGTGGAATCTGGATCCCAAGATGGTGTATATTAGAGTGATAGTTGAAGTGAACTGTGCCTTGTTTTGTCTTGCAGATATGAGGAAGTGTTCAGACAAAGAATTCCGCTGCAGTGATGGCAGTTGCATAGCTGAACACTGGTTTTGTGATGGAGATACAGATTGCAAGGATGGCTCAGATGAGGAGAACTGCCGTAAGTTAGCCTGTCTTTCTTCAGTGCTGGTAGTATCCATGATCTCCATTCTGCTGCCATGCAGAGGTTCTGTAATGAATCCCAGGCATGCCTCAGTATTCTCAGTCTTTCTGTAGTGTCCTATTGTGATTTCAGCTTTGCTGTGCTGTAGAAGATACATAGATTAGTAGTGCAAATCTGTGCAGGCGATTTGCCAAAAAATCACACTCCTAAGCCCAAATCCTTTTTGCTTAAATTACATCACCCCATCTCTCTTTGATAACAGCATGTGTCTCTGAGCTTTGAAATGATAATTGCTATCAGTTACTGTAGCTGTAGCCTCCCAGAACTCCTTTCATTTTGAAGGAATAAATGTATTCTACCACAGTTCCTTTCAGAACTTTTAGAATGTTTGCATTAGTAGAATACAGATGGGGAAAGTTATTTTAGAGTTGGAAATCCTTGTAATTTTTTCATGTATCTGTAGAAAGTTTCAAGAATCTGGTATTCTGCTGAAAGAGAAATCAACATAGTTTCTATTCATAATTTCAATGTCTCTTTATGCTCCTCTGTGGCTGTTAATTAATAAATGCTTATGGAAACAGGAGAGTCATTTTGAAAATATATTTTTGCCCAAATAAAGGGTGTAGGAATACACCTGACTCCCATCCTTGCACATACATGATGCTGCTTGTGAGAAATCAAGTGTCCTAAGCGTTTTCATTCTTAGCCAATCCAAACTGCCAGTGTTATTCTTCTTTGTGGTCTCTGTGAATGCACACTGTAGGGTTTAACCTGCACTTGTGCAGAGGTTTCCAGAATATTCTAGAGCTTTATTACGCATTCACCAGGACCACTCCCCTAGTACACGTGGTCCACCAGTCCTGCCGATCCCCTCAGTTCCTTTTTGCTGCTGCTGAGGTTTTATCTCACAACGACCTCTCCATTTGCCAACTGCTTTCTATTTCTTTCTAACAAAAAATATAGAGGGAAAATAGTAAGAGACTTTTCAAGCTGTTTCTTCCTCTTCTGATTGCCTTCCCTTGCCCTTCTCTTCTTGTCATTTATGGCCCCTGTAGCTCAGTTTAAACGGTGCACTTCATGCCCCAACAAGATCCCTTGCTCAGACGGGCCCAATCATTGTCTCTTCTGCCTTGAAGAATGTCATCTACCATCTTCCTGCCAGTTTTGTAAGAACTTCACCAAACAAACACTCAAACTCTGACAGCAATGCCTTATATCTTTTCTCTGGGGACGTTCTCTCCATCTGGTCCAGAATACTATGGAAACTACTCAGACTTCTTAATTTCACGATAGATCCCCTGAGATGCCCACCACTTCCCCGATACCGAAGTTATCGTCATCCAAGGCCAAATCTAAATCTATCTCCAAATCTAAGTTTTTGGGATCGACAGCCAAGTCAACACCGATACAGAACCCGCCTTCAGTATTGGAGCACTCCGAATCAAAAAAGTAAAAAAATAAAAATAAAAAAAAATCCTCCTTGGATTCCCAAACTACTAAGAAGTCTTCCTGTCTGACAACTGACAAATCCACATCGACAATTCCTGTTCAGGTCCAACCAACCATCTACCTTGACTCTTCGGATGATGATTCCATACAACCACTATCCAGCCATCCACCCTCTCCGCTTCTTGCCCAATCTCCTTCATGGGCCAACAACACTTCGGCTGAAGTGACAGTTGTCTTGCATTTGGCACATTCAAGCCCCAAATCCATGGGTTGCTCAGTCTCTGCGTGTGATTTGGAATCAGCTTCTGCCTTGCCTGACCCATCTCCTCATAAACGAGCTAGGAAAACACACCATACACCAGAGACTTGCTGATATTATGCTGATCTTGCACAACCTCCAACCTCTACGGGGCTGTTGGCATCTTATGACTCTCTGACTCGATATCGCCATCCAAAGTGAGTCACACTTTACGAACCTTTGGGACTCTCTGACTCGATATCGCCATCCAAAGCGAGTCACACTTTACGAACCTTAGTATGAGCCTCCCCCTAAACACTATTGAAATCAAGCGTATCTATATTGGCAACCTGATACTGGACCTTACATTGAGCCCAAACGCTCCCGGTATACGTATTATCCATCTGATGCATCGGACTCACCATCTCCTCCTCGGTGCCATTCACAGTCCCATGAATATTATCAGATCTTGTCTGAGGACGACACCAGGACTCTGCCTCCAGTACCAAAGCCGCACAAGCCCTCTGATCATTGCCCTGAACCCATTGCGAAGCAACCACCAACGGTACCGAAGCGATCCCAGCCATCGGCTCAAGTTCCAGTACCACCTTCTGAACCCACTGCCATTATCGATCTAGGCCAGACCTGGGCAAAGTGCGGCCCAGGGCCACATACGGCCCGCGAGCCGCTCCTGTCCGGCCCGCCGGTCGTCGCTCCAGTCCGGTGTTCACGCCCAAGACAGACTCGATTTCTCTCACTGAACAAGTTGAACATCAAAACCATTTATAGCTTTTTGTCTAAAGTTGATCAGTTGCTTATCTTTAACATACAGCAAAAAACCTCTTTAGTATTTGTGAAGATTAACAAGTTTAAAATAAAAACAATCATAACATCACTGTTTCATTTTATTTTTAAGTAAAGTTGGTTTGGCCCCTGAATACAGTTCAGATTTTTAATGTGGCCCCCTATAGAAATTAATTGCTCACCCCTGATCTAGTTGATGCCTACTTTCATATTACCATCTGCCAAGATCACCACAAGTTTCTCCGATTCTCCTTGGGAGATGTAGCCTACGAATTCAAGCCCCCCCCTTCGGACTTTCAACTGCTCCATGGGTTTTCACCAAATGCATGGCTCCTATAGCGACTCATCTCTGCACTCAAGGAATTTCTATTTTCCCATACATAGACGATTGGTTGCTGGTGTCCCCTTCACGTTCTCAAGCCCTATGAGATGTACAGTGGTGCCTCGCTTAACGGGCGCCCCGCATAGACGATTGGTTGCTGGTGTCCCCTTCACGTTCTCAAGCCCTATGAGATGTACAGTGGTGCCTCGCTTAACGGGTGCCCCGTTTAACGACGAATCCGCATAGCGATGCGGACTTTGCGATCGCAAAAGCGATCGCATTGCAATGTTCCCTATGGGGAAAATGCCGGCGGTAGCTATTATCTTGGCTAATGCTAGGAAACCTGCCACAGCGCAACTTTACACCTACAAATAGGCTGCCTTCTGGAAATTTGCAACTCAACGCAATCTTCCAACTACACTGACAACTCTCCAAGCAGTTATTGTATTCCCTTCTTACCTTTTTGGTCAACAGCTTTTCCTAGCAACCCTTAAGGTCTTGAAGCAATTCCTTAGAAGTATTTCCAATATGTGGCCTTCCAGCCCCCAGCCCCATGGTCCTTACACACTGTCCTCTGTGTTGCCTCACATTACCTCCCTTTGAACCTCTTGCAACCACTTTGGAACATCTCCTCTCCCTTAAAACCCCTTTTCTGGTCGTTATTACCTCCACTCGCAGAGCCTCGGAGCTTGCCGCTCTTTGTGTGGACTCTCTATTCCTCCAATTCCACTCTGACAAGATTACCCTTTACCCAGATGTTTCCTTTCTTCCAAAGGTTGTCTAGCGATCGCATTGCAATGTTCCCTATGGGGAAAATGCCGGCGGGCACTTCGGAAGGAGCGCGGGGGAGGGCTCCACCAGATTTCCACCTTAAACAACCCATCATCCTACCTACCTTCTTTCCATTGCCAACGAACAACTTAGAACTTTCCTTCCACATGCTGGAAGTCAGACGAGCCCTCACGTTTTAAGTCTCCCAGATTTCCTCCTTCTGCAAGTCAAAAAGGCTCTTTGCCATGCCTCACTTGCTGCATAGGGGTTCCCATGTTTCTCCCCAGACCATCTCCAGATGGATTGTTACAACTATACATTTGGCATACCAGCTCGCTCAAAAGCATCTTCCCTTAGGCATCAAGGTTCACTTCACTAGAGCTGTTGCTGCCTCCACAGCCTTCCTGAAGGGAGTACCGCTCCATGACACCTGGGCAACCTCTTTCATGTTTACTGCTCATTACCGTCTAGATGTCAGTAAAGACAGATGTGGTCTTTGGTAGGTCTGTGCTCTCTTCTATTCTTCTGTGACGTCCCTCTTCTGGTAAGTCAGCTTGTTAATCACCCTATAGTGTACATTCACAGAGACCACAAAGAAGAAAGAGAGGTTACCTATCTGTAACTCTAGTTCTTTGAGTAGTCATCTGTGAATTCACACTTCCTGCCTGTCCTCCCCTCTGTCCATCACATGTGTTTCATTTTACTCAGCGGCGAGCAGTTTGGGAACTGAGGCACTAGCCAGGATGGGCGGGTCATGTGCACTAGGGGGGCGGTCCTGGCGAACGAGTGTTAAGCTCTAGAAGATTCCAGAAACCTCTGCGCAAGTGCAAATTAAACCCTATAGTGTGAATTTAACCTATCTTTCTCATTGCTGGTAATATTTGGGCACATGTAAGAGATTGCTCTAGTTCTAATTTTGTGGGTCTACCATGGCACCCACTTTGAACCACATATGTCCTTTTAAGTTAGTTGGTTTGTTGACTTAATGCAGTAACATTCAGCATGTTGTGCATTTTGTATCTCCTGACTTCTTTTCGTGGTGTGTGTGTGTGTCTGCTTCCTGATTACTAGGACTCTGAACCAGACCTTGAGCAAAGATTTTGTGAGTCTGGGAAAGTGGCTGTAATAAAGTAAACTTTATTATAGTTTAGTTTGTGTCATACAGTCCTAGGGAAACACTGCTGATAAATGACTTCCCAGGACTTTTCCCTCCCTCCCCATGCTCATTTAGGTCATCCCTCCCAAACTTCCATGGACTTGTTGCTGAATAAGTTATCACAAGTGAATTAGTGAATGGGTTTGGAGTTAATTCATGCAGTCCTGGGGGAGCCACTCCCAGACTTTTGTGGAATGCTCGCTTCTGCATGTCATCTAACACATTTATCAGGTTTCTATTTCTGTCCAACCCAAGCACTTGCTAGATTCTATGCAAACATGCCGAACTCCCTTGTTCCTCCCTTTCCCACTTCTGTCTCAAGGGCATCTGACAGAATTTGTTCTAGATACGGTGAAACTTCAAAAGGTTTGGGTTGGGGGTATGTGTGGAGAAAACAGAGCTGCCAGCTCCTGAAGGGCAAGGGTGGGGAACAGCAGATAGTGTATGTGGGGAGAAGGGATGTATTTTATCTTTCCAGATAATGAGAGATAGGCATGGTACCAAAGCTGCCAAGGTATTTGAGGCAGGGAAAGGTTCAGAGAAGAAGCCAACTTCACTTTCTCCTCTCCACTGGCTGAGCCTTCTCTGCCAGGTTATCAAAACACATAACTCCTCGGGAGTGGAAATCTTACTCTAACCTTGTCACATTTAGTGGGAGGTTGAAATGCAGTGAATAAACTTAGTTTGGCACAAATGCCTTTATCTTATCTTCGGGTTTTGTTATTGCTGTTTTTCTTATTTTAAAGAGTAGTCAGTAACCTCTTTGTCCTTTTCTGTTCTTTTGCCTGCTACTGATTGTCTGTGGATGATGCATGGCCAGCAAGGAAAGCTTAGGCTCACTTGTCTGGGTGAACCGTGCATTGGATGGCCCAGTTGCTTGCTGTCTTTCTCCAAATGCTGCTAGTTTCTTTCACTCCTACCTGGACCCATCTGAATCAATGTGCTGTTGCAGTGTTGCTCTGTCTGCTTCTCAAAGTCTCCTTTCTGTTACTGCTTTGTGGATCTGAATCTTGCCATCCTACCAATGGGTTCGTGGCCACACGGTCATATAGAGAGAATTCTGTTCTCCTGTACAGTTCTCCAGAGAGAGCTTTTATCTGTACTATAAAGAATTGGCTTGGAAAAGGGCAGCATTATAAAATCTTTGTCTTGGATTATCCTGCGTCCTGCACAGGGTCAGAGTGTGTCTGGGAAGATTTCTTGTGCCAGAGGGGGGCAGAGAGAGGGAGGGAGACAGAGAGAGAGGTTTGTTCTGGCCTCCGCTTGAGAAGAATGTTACTCTTCAAAGGCCTGGCACTAGTCACGATGTCTTCTACTCAACAGCTTTGGCAAGATTAAGCCCTCAAACCAGCAGCTCTGTTTTTCAATCTTAACAGTTTGGCTAATTCAACCTATGCATAGTTCCTTCTTAGGTGTATATGGGTGTGACTCCAGGGATGTGGAAAATTATAGCACAGTGATGCCCTGGAGCTCTCATACAGGTTAGTTGGCTCTTTGAGCCCCTTAGAGAACAGGAGAGCCCTCGTGCTCTCAGCACATGATAAATTATAGAATAAGTGCATTGGAAGGGGACTATAAGGCCCTCGAGGACAAGCTCAATGCAGAAAATCCAGATCAAAGCAGATCTGGCAGATGGTTGTCCAGTTTTCTTTTGAGTGCCTTCAGCGTTGGAATGCCACCACTCTTGTAGTTCATTGCAAGTGAGTTCACACACAGTGTTATGTGCATGATCATCACCGATAACACTTGCTAATTGGATGATGGTTTTGCACATGTTAAACATGCCAGAGTTTTTAATGTGGAGGATGTTTTCTATATAGGTGTTTATATGGGGATGCCTGGGATTTCTGATAGCATTTGTAAAGACATGCCTCTTCTGCAAAATGCTGCAGGACTCCTTCTTAGTGGCATGTTATTCCTGTTGTACCATGATGTGTAGAGTGAAGGCTGTGTACAATTCTTCTTGCACTGCCAAGTTCAACATGCCAAGTCTGTGCACAGATGGTGCACTGTATCAAACTGTCTACATTAGGTACCTACATTTGATCGCTGATGTTCACGCCTGTTGCAAATACAATAGGTAGGCACTTATAAAATTGGAGGTTTTTCTTAGTAGTTGTGAGTGGTTTGCATATGTGAATACTTGGTTGTTGTTGTTTGGGTGCATAATAGAGAGAACAGGTGTAAATTCCCAGAGGCAGCTGCATTAGTCTGTAGCATATTGTAGCAAAACTATCAAAGAGTCTTGTGACATGGAGACTAGCAAGTTTTATTTGGCATAACAGATGTGGATTGCAGCCTACTTCATCAAATGTGTGGATTATAACCTCAGTAGGCAAGTTCATGAAAGTTTACACCAAGTAAAACTGGTTTGCATTCAAGGTGCTGGAAAATTCTGTTGTTTTTTCTACAAATACAGAAATGGATGATATTAAAGAATGGTATAAGACTTATTCCTCATGGATGCATCTCAGGCAGTGAATACTGTGTCTGGAAATAAGACTTATTTGCAGGCAATTGCATTTCATTCCAGGTAGCCCTGTGACAGGTCTCAATGTTGTGGCAAACAGTGTCTGCCTCTGTCTCTCTGTGACTTTCTTTTATTCACAATGTCACAGAGAAAGCTCATCTTAACTTCACTTGTTTTCCCTTTAGCGTCAGACATTCCAGCAGCAACATGTAGCCTGGAGGAGTTCCAGTGTGCATATGGCCGCTGTATCCTAGACATCTATCACTGTGATGGAGATGATGACTGTGGAGACTGGTCTGATGAATCTGACTGCTGTAAGTTACCTGGCAATGGCGTACAGGTGGTTTGATAAGCACGCAGAGTGTGCTGTCAGTGGGGATTTATTTATTTATTTCTTTATTAGATTTCTACCCCACCCCTCTAGACAATGTCTGCTATTGCCTGACCTCAACATGTACAAGGATCTGATACCAATTTTTCCTTTTTTTCAAATGGGTGGGAGTTCTTTTCTGAACATGCATATCCTCCCTGGCTCAAAGGCTGGCACTGTCATTAAAATAGACTGTTTATATGCTGAAGTGAAATTCTACTCAAGAGTTATTGGATACTGTAGAAACAAGAGCTAAGGACCAGGGCTGGAATTTCAGTCAGATATATTCATCAGTAGAAGAGGTCATAGGAAATATTTTTGAAGAGTACCCGCCATATTCTACATGGCTAAAGATCTCCAGCATGTTGCCCATTGTCTTACTTTGAACACTTGGGGTTGTTAACTTTTTTAATCTGGACTCCATGGAGTGTGGCGTTTACAACTTGCTGTCTTCTGTGTGTAGCCTCGCATCAGCCATGTCGCTCTGGAGAGTTTATGTGCAACAGTGGTTTGTGCATTAATGCTGGATGGAGATGTGACGGTGACTTTGACTGTGATGACCAATCGGATGAGAAGAACTGCAGTGAGTACCTTCAGGCTTATGCAGGATGTTGAGCATAGGGACAATGAGAAGGATGATATGGTGAAATAAGAGACAAGTGTATGAAGCCAGCAAGTCAGATCTGCTAACCTGTCTCACTTTTATTGATGCAGCAACATCTATGTGCACTGCTGACCAGTTCCGCTGTAAATCTGGCCGCTGTGTCCGTCTTTCATGGCGCTGCGATGGAGAAGATGATTGTTCTGATAATAGTGATGAAGAAAACTGTGAGGAAACAGGTGAAGAACTCCTTCCTTGCATTCAGCTTTCCTGTGCTAGGCTCAAGTGTTAAATATTATACCATCCAGAATTAGCAAAGGCATTCCAGATTCGGTTTTCTCCAAATTTCCTGAAATCCAATCCTGTAAAAACCACAGATATTCTGTGTGTGCATATCTGTGAGAGTAGGGAAAGGATCCTGTCTAAATAATAAATATTAGTGGTTGAGAAGGACCAGTAAAAGGTCATGAAAATTGAAGCTGCAAACAGACTATATATTTCTGTTTTTGATTATTCCAACTGGGTTCCAAATTAATAAACATGCAGGAAACAAAGAAGTCTGATGATGCAAACTCATCAAAAACAGCCATTGTGTTTGGGTGAGAAATGATTAACAACAAAAGGAGTCAGTTTCTAGGATTTTTCCCTTGCTTAGCGTCCCTTTGTGAAAGAATGGTAGAGAGCACAAGAGAGTATTCTGAAGACAATCTTGACTGCTGCCATTGGAGTTGTCAACAGCAGGCTGCCGTTTGCTGTGTAAAGCTTAGTATCCTTTTTTCCTGCTGGCAATGCAGGCCATGATATACCATAGTTTAGAAATAGTGAGCCATTTCCTGGAATTTTGAATCTTGGATATAGAAGCACAATATCCCAGTTTCATAAACCAGAGGATTTTTTTTTTGAAGAATTGACAAAACAGATCTTGATGGACAATGTGCACAATATCCCACTTTCATAAACCAGAGGATGGTTGTTTTTTTTTGAAGAATTGACGAAACAGATCTTGATGGACAATGCTCAGTGGAAAAAAGAAGAATAAACTAGTTATTGAAATTCTGTTGTGCATAGCAGAGATAATGTCATCATCGATATCAAATTGCTGCTGATTAAAGGTGATATTGGGGTTTATGTGGCTTGTGAATAATTCATGCAAAGTTATGTGCACCCCAAAATCCCCAAAGGAAGTCTTTAATGATTTGTCATTGATGATGGTGTCATCACTGCTGCACGAACGGGATTTCATCTAATATGTGTTTGAAAATGTATACACTTGAGTATCTTTATTATAGGAACTGAAATCCAAGCTAAATATTAGTATAAGATTTTGGAATTGTTTGAAAAATGGCTTAAAATGGAAATACACTAGATTGCCAGCTCTAACTATCCAAGCATTCTTATCTTCTCCTCTAGGAAGCCCGCAATGTGCCCCAGATCAGTTTCTGTGTGGGAATGGGCGTTGCATTGGCCAAAGAAAGCTGTGTAATGGTGCAAATGACTGTGGAGATGGTAGTGATGAGAGCCCTGAACAAAACTGCCGTAAGTTCCCCCTGCAATCTCACTTCAATTCCAGTGGAACATATTTGATTTGGGAGTCATTCCCAGAGGTGCAAGTGCAGCTGCAGAGAGTCAGGGAGGGTGATGGTTGGAAAGAGAGCTGAAAAGCACCAGAGACGGGAAATTCCAAAGATGGAAAGTAGAAGAGTTGTGTTAATGGAGGAGCATGAGTCAGGAGACCTTCCTGCTGGCTTTAGAACAAAATTGACATATTGAACTCTGCAACATGTTCCAAATATTGCCTTACTATGAGGATAAGGGAACATTTCTAGGTGTAAATAGTGAAGAATCTCAGCTAAGTTTGTGCTATGAAAGTAGGATTATTCCTTCCATGAAGACACAAGGAGCAGTCCTGAACTATGGCAGGCTTCTTCTGTTTACAGTACCTTGTCAGTACAGGACTTCTCTTGCCTTTTAAATGCCAGTTTAACAAACCAGCAGCTGTTTCCTGAGTTGCCATCACACAAAAGAAGTTTGACATGCCTATTCCACAGGTCCTCGAACTGGAGAGGAAAACTGTAATCTGAATAACGGCGGCTGTGCCCAAAAGTGCCAGATGTCTCGAGGAACGGTGCAGTGTACCTGCCACACAGGTTATCGGCTTCTGGAGGATGGCAGGTCATGCCATGGTGAGCAGGCTTTGCATATCTGTTGGTAGAATCATTAGTGACTGTAGGCCAAATGGCCAGAACCTGACCTGGCCCGGCCTGCCTAATACCCTACCATTGCCAAGAGATTGAAGTGTATCAACTTCAAAATAAATGACAGAGTTACTGGGGTGGAGGTGGAGTGCCATGCACATATGTTGCTCATCTCGTGCATCAAGGACAGTTCAGTAAAAGAGGATAGTACTCTGATCCCATCTATCTCCCCTAACTGACTTGTTCTGCTGATTTTTTAAAAAAGGCAGAAGGAATGGAAGGAAACAAGCAGGTACAAGTGGAAAACAGTGTCTAGATCCCATGTGAAATGTTTTGAAAGAGGGTCAGTGATTGCACAATAAGAAGCCTTTTCTGGAAGCATCCAAACTGGAAAACCAATTGGGGCAGACAGTATGGTACACCGGTGTTTACTTTTATTGCAAGGCCTTGGGCCAGTCCCTCTGTCAGACTGACCTGCCTCACAGGTTTTGCTATGTACATAAAGTGAGGAGAAGGATCCATGCTCTTTTCTTTCATTAACGGTAGGAAAGATAGGCTAGATAGGTAGCAGATTAAATAAATAAACAGATAAATGATTTTTCAGAAGGTACAGAATTCAATATCTACAAGATTGTAGAATCCAAAGCAAAAAACAAGTGTGCCTGTTCCCTTGACATGTTCACTCTCCCCACTTTTCCTGTTTCCAGATGTGAACGAATGTGCAGAAGAAGGTTATTGCAGCCAAGGATGCACCAACAGTGAGGGGGGTTTCCAGTGCTGGTGCGAGCAAGGCTACGAGCTTCGCCCAGACAAGCGCAGCTGTAAAGCCCTGGGTAAGGAGGAACTGTCTTGTGGCCTGAGGACCTTTTCTGCTATTTTACACTGAAGTCACACAGGAGCCCAATGCAATATTGCTCACTTGGGTTAAGGCTCTAGTTTCCAGAGCTTGGAAAACTTCCTTTTTTCTGGATTATTGTTCCCACAATTCCTCCCCTTCTGCCTGCTTACACAATAACCATGCTTCTTAGGGGATGCTGGGCTTTGTACTCTGAAAAAATAACTTTTGGAAGCTCTTCCAGTTTCTGAGTGGCACTGAATTCCTCACTGCTTCTTGCTCTTTCTTTTTCTTTTTTTCTTCTTCTTTCTTTTCTTTTCTTTTTTCTTTTTGGCCTTTCACCTGGTTGCATGCTTCTGAGAAAAACAGAAAATGATGCCTTTGACTGTAATTCGAGGTGGCTCTGAATGTGCTTTCAAGGTTTTAGCAAGTAGTTATGTAGCAGGTAAAACAGAGTGGAGCAGATGTCAACCTGGAACAGGGTGTGTGATTAAGCTGATGTTTGTTTATTAAAGGCTTTGAGACTTCTGAGGGCTGAGCCAAGAGATTTGCCTGTTCACGTGAGGGTTTCTGTTGTTTTTGTTTTTGGCGTTTACATATGCTTATTCATCCGATTCCTGAGAAGCCGCATGGTGGCTGGGCCAGTTCCCAGTACTAATCCCAATGGCGAGGGCTAAGGATTCAGATGTGAGCAAAACAAGGGAGTGTGTGGTTCACACAGCCAGCATATTCCTTATGTAGAATCCTTTTGAGGATTTTGGTTCCCACATTTCTGAATGCTGAAAAACAAGATTGGAACAGAGGAAATGGTTCTTGGGTATTGTTAGCTTGTTTTTCCCCTCTATCCATGAAATGACTGTGCATTTTCAATACAGTGACATTGGTGCCTACCTGATCAAGCCCTCATTTCTACCTTTTGATGTTCTCTAGGGCCAGAACCCGTGTTACTGTTTGCCAATCGGATTGATATTCGACAGGTCTTACCTCACCGCTCAGAGTATACCTTACTACTGAACAATCTGGAAAATGCAATTGCGCTTGATTTCCACCATAGCAAGGAGTTAGTCTTTTGGTCAGATGTCACACTGGACCGTATAATGCGGGCCAACTTGAATGGCAGCAATGTGGAGGAAGTCGTGTCCACAGGACTAGAGAGTCCAGGTGAGCATCACTACTTTCATTTACTATTTTTTAGTGTGGTATTTGTTTGATCTTGTTTAATATTTGTATACTTACTGCTTTTAGCTTTATTGTTGTCTTTTAATGATGTAAACCACCCAGGTCCCTTTTAAGGAGAAGGGCAGGGTAAAAATACTCCCATATATACACAAATATATATACAAATTCTATATTTCCTTATCATTGACCTGCTCGGTTGGTTAGAATTGTAATCCAAAATAATTGAAAGGCACCAGATTGAGAAAGACTGATGTAGCCTGCAGCAAAGAGAGTCCTATATATATAGTTGCATAGAGAGTCCATATACATATAAAAGAGTCCCACATAAGAGTCCCATATATGGTGCCTTTCAATTACAGTCATGCCCTGCTTAACTATTACCCCGTATAACAACGAATCCGCTTCACGACAGTGAGGCACCACTGTATTTTGGATTACAATTCTAATCAACCCAGCGGGTCAATGATAAGGAAATATAGGATTTGTAGCCCTAAATATCTGAAGACTAAGGCTGAGGAAGGTTGGCCTGTATTATTCACAGACTTGTGTTTTTCCTTCAATTTGGGTTTTAGGTGGTTTGGCTGTTGACTGGATCCATGACAAGTTGTATTGGACAGACTCAGGAACATCTCGTATTGAAGTTGCAAACTTGGATGGCACCCACAGGAAGGTGCTTCTGTGGCAGAACTTGGAAAAACCTCGTGCAATCGCTCTTCACCCCATGGAGGGGTGAGTAACGGGTAGTCATGGGCTCTTCTCTTAATACCACTGTTGAAAAAGTACTGGGCTGAAAAGGAAGTGGACCTCCTGTTCAGGGGTGAGATTCAGGAAAAGCTCCTACTGGTGGAATAGGGGTCTGCTTGGGAATCCGTAGTCTATGGTTGCTTTCAGCTATCCCAGATGCCTCACATAGCCAAATTACATAGCTGTGTTACCATCCTTTAAGGACTTCAGATTAGATTGTTCACATTTTCCTCTTCTCCAATAGCACCATCTACTGGACAGATTGGGGAAACACACCTCGGATTGAGTACTCCAACATGGACGGCTCCAATCGGCGCATCATCGCTGACACTCATCTTTTTTGGCCAAATGGGCTAACTATTGACTACGCAGGGCGTCGGATGTATTGGGTAGATGCCAAACATCATGTTATTGAGAGGGCTGACTTAGATGGACAGAACAGGAAGGCTGTCATTAGCCAAGGTGAGATATGGAAATTGGAACTCTTGTTGTGCTAGAGAGGCAGTATTAAGAAAGGCAAGAAGAAGAAAACATATATACTGTGCATTCTGTCTGTAGCCGGCATCATTAATTGTCCTAGGCAACACAGACAGCAAGGAGTAAAGGCATGTTTGGTTTTATGTGGTCTTTCAAAAGCAAACACTTTCTAGACTGGAGATATAAACATTTTGTGAAAAGGCTGATTTCTCCAGAGGCTTGATATAATCCATGTGGTTGTACTGAATTGTTTCTGCAGGACTTCCACATCCTTTTGCCATCACAGTATTTGAAGACAGCTTGTACTGGACAGACTGGCATACCAAGAGTATAAACAGTGCCAACAAATTTACAGGGAAAAACCAGGAGATCATCCGCAACAAACTTCACTTCCCCATGGATATTCACACCCTGCACCCCCAACGCCAGCCAGCAGGTAACTGCAGAGGGAAAGGGGATACAGTGGCTTCCACCCACTCTTAACAGAGATGTATTTGCACAGGTTTTAAAACACAAGATGAAAGAAATAGGGTATTCAGATGTTCTGTCATTAAGAATGAAAATCAGAATTCTAACAGAATTCTGGCTGTTTCATTGTAAAAATTCATGTTTTTTTATAGTCTATGGTAAAGATATGAAAGGCCCAAAGACATCCTATGTTTACTTTGCCCCTAGACCTCTCAGTTATAAGGAACTGAATCAAAACTCTGAATACTTCACAGGAGCATCCTGTGAAGAAATATGGGTGAAATGTTTTGAAGAAATATGGGTGACAGCTGAGAATAGCCCTCATTCTCTGTTTAGTGCCTTCGTAACTACTGTGCTAAGCTCATCAGGACTGAAAATAGGGCTTGGAAACAGCCTGATAAAGTTTTGATTGATTGATTGATTGATTGATTGATTGATTAATTAATTAATTAATTAATTAATATGCCACCCACACTACCCAAAGGTTTGTGTTAAACCCATTACTTTTCCCTTTAAGCAGGAGAAAACATTGCCTTAAAAATTTCTTAAAAAGGAATCTTGAACACATTTGGATTTCATCTGGGTTGAAGTCATTACTTTTGTTTGTGTCCACAAAACTCCTCACCAGAAAGAAGACACCAAGGATGAAATCTATACAAGTGATTCCTAATGTTGGTACTTCAGAGGTTTACGGGCAGCTCCCCAAAAGTGCTAGCCAGCACAGCCAATGGGCATACTTTCTGGAAGCCCAGCAACATCAGAAGCCCCCATAGCTGGGAATAGGAATTGACTCCTGTGACCCACATGTCTGGGAGAGAGCAAGCTCGAGGAGGGTTGTGCATCCATTTGTTAAGACTGTACTTTTGAGTAAACCATCTATAGTGTTCTGCTGAAGAAGTGTATTTGAAAGTGGTCCTAGAAGTAGAGTTATTCTTATTAAATATGTATGGGTTGTCGCTTTGTGAGTAGAGAGATTGGGTGTTGCTTTCTCTGTGAGTGGAGAGATGAGATCCAGTGTTAGGACATACCTCCTTCCTCTACCTAATACTACAACAACGCTACTGCATTGTTGGATTTGTAGTCCATTTGGCAAAAAGTGCCAGATTGGAGAAGTCAGTGTTAAAAAGACAGAAAGAGTACTTCTGAAAGAGCCAGTAGCAAATATCAAAAACAAAGGGGAAGAGAGAGGGAGAGAGAAAGAGAGAGAAGGAAGGAACCATGCAGAGGCTGTGTCCCTGTTAGTTCTAAAAATGAATGATTTAACAAATGCGTTAACACTGCTAATTCAGCTACAGTAGTTAAATGCCTTTCATTTTAAAATGGTAATAACAAACAATTAATTTTCCAATCCTTAGCACATAACACTAATTTGCGTAATGTTTAAACCTGCTGTTCTCAGCTCGGCTGAAGAGAACATTTACTTTGCTACCACTTGTCTGGGTTTGATACAATGGTGTGGTAATTTTCCATGCAAAATGTAAGAATTGCCTTCTTGAATCAAACTGAGTACCCATTTTAAATAAAGTCCTATGCTCTCAGATGTTATGCTCAAGGTAAAAGGGTACAGGATCACAACCATAATCTAGAATTTTGCCATCAGGAGTGGTCTATGAAGCCCTTTAGCAGGGAGTGGTGATGTCATTTGATAATACACATATTAATGTGGCATCCAGATAGATGGCCACTTCAGGGATAATTTCAATTATTAGTTCTACCTCTGCTGACTGTAGAGTAGCAGTGAACTACAACTGCAGTATGATAAATACTCTTGAAATATTATAGCAGGTTTTCTTAATTTTTTTCTTCATGGCAATACTAAAGGGAAAGAATCTCTATATAACAAAAATAAGAACAGAATACAAAATACAACTGCAGTATGATAAATACTCTTGAAATATTATAGCAGGTTTTCTTAATTTTTTTCTTCATGGCAATACTAAAGGGAAAGAATCTATATAACAAAAATTAGAACGGAATACAAATGATTCAGTATATGAGTAGGAAGCTTTGTTTTTGTTAGTGAACATAAAAATGATTTCAAGCATTATGGAAAAAGCTTACTCAGCTGTATCATGTAAAGAATAATACTTTCCCAAAAGAGTCAGTCATAAGAGTTTGCATTACAGGCATCTTTTACACTGCATGCGTATGTGCAAGTGAGAGAAGGGGGGCAGCTATGAAGCCCTTTAGCAGGGAGTGGTGATGTCATTTGATAATACACATACTGTATTAATGTGGCATCCAGATAGATGGCCATTTCAGGGGTAATTTCAACTATTAGTTCTACTTCTGCTGACTGTAGAGTAGCAGTGAAATACAACTGCAGTATGATAAATACTCTTGAAATATTATAGCAGGTTTTCTTAATTTTTTTCTTCATGGCAATACTAAAGGGAAAGAATCTATATAACAAAAATTAGAACGGAATACAAATGATTCAGTATATGAGTAGGAAGCTTTGTTTTTGTTAGTGAACATAAAAATGATTTCAAGCATTATTGAAAAAGCTTACTCCGCTATATCATGTAAAGAATAATACTTTCCCAAAAGAGTCAGTCATAAGAGTTTGCATTATAGGCATCTTTTACACTGCATGCGTATGAGAAGGGGGGCAGTGAAAGATTAGGAGGTCTCTGTAATTCTGGCTTTTTCACATGAATATGTTGCCTGTATTCTACTAGTTTCCTTATAAGTGGTTGTTTTTTGGCTATTTGAGCAGGGAGAAATCGCTGTGGAACTAACAATGGAGGTTGCACTCACCTGTGTCTACCAAATAACAAGACGTACACCTGTGCCTGCCCTACAGGCTTTAAGAAAACCAGCACCCATACCTGTGCCCAAAGTAAGTGCAATAGGGAAGAGTTTGTGCATCTTGATATGGGCAACAGAGGGAGAATGACGGACAAGGCAGACTGGAGACGGGGGAGGGGGGACTTTTTGAAAAAAGTTTGGGGGATATCGGGAAGACCTGCTTAACTATTACCATTGGTACTGTATTTATTTATTTATTTACTTACTTACTTACTTATTTACTTATTTATTTATTTATTGGATTTTTACCCCGCCCCTCTAGACAATGTCTACTCGGGGCGGCTTACAAATAAAACACGGCAATATATACATATGTAAAATCATAAAAAATTACAGTTATTTACAATTATAATTACAATTTGAGTAATTGATTACCAACCAACAATGTGTGGCAGAGCTCCAGTTGTAATACTGTGTAAAGGTTTGGCTGAAACCCAAAAAGAAATAATTATAATTACAATTTGAGTAATTGATTGCCAACCAACAATGTGTTTATGTACACTGGGGGACAGAGCTCCAGTTGCAATACTGTGTAAAGGTTTGGCTGCAACCCAGAAAGAAATATAGGCAAGTGGGAAGGAAGTAGAAAAGTACTGCGTAGAAGGATGAATAGACTGGACTACAGGAAAAAGCTAATAAGTTTTTGAGGTTTATAACTTTGAGGGGAAGGACTGCTTTGTGAGTTGTTTGCTTGTCAGAATTACTTGACTGCCCTCTATTGGCAACACCATACTGGACTTGGTGGGTCCCTAGTCTGGCCCAGTAGGCCCAATATGCTTTTATGTTCATATTCTTGATTTATACTGGGGGAGGGGCAGCTAGGCGCTGCTTGTACCTCATCTTTTAGAAACTCACAGTGCAGTTGGCTTCTGCCATGCTTGCTCCATTTAGGGGCATGCTTTCTAGTAACATGCTGTCCTTTATCCTCATCCTGGGAGCGGCTCCCATCCATCTCATGTCCCTTCCGCATGCTACTTATATGTGGCCTGGCCAACATTGTGGGTTGGACATGTAAAGTCATGGAAGCAGCAGAGCTTAGATGTAACAAGATAGTTTTCTGTGTCTGTTACCATGTTGTTGAACTTAGAGAAATTAAAAGAAGACCTTTCGACCTTTGATCAGGTCTTGACAAGTTCCTGCTTTTTGCCCGAAGGATGGACATCCGTCGTATCAGCTTCGACACAGAAGACCTGTCTGATGATGTCATCCCCTTGGCTGATGTACGCAGTGCTGTGGCTCTGGACTGGGATGCAAAGGATGATTATGTCTACTGGACAGATGTTGGCACTGACTCCATTAGTCGGGCAAAATGGGATGGAACGGGCCAAGAGGTAATAAATCTTGCGTTGGAGAGGCAGGGGGCTACATGTTCATTAGCAGGATCAAGTTCCTTACGTCTCCCAGTTTAGGGGCCTCCTTTTGCTTATGTTCACTTAGTCCAACTATAAATATGCCAGACTTAAATTTAATATAATTGCCTCAACTGTTTCTGAAGCTTGCACACTTTTGTATTTGAAGAGTCTTTATTTTTGTGGGTTACTTAATAGCACAGATACTCTCATGTATATATAGTATGATTGTACATATTAGCTACTGTCTCTGTTCGGTGGTATTCAGTGTGGCACACACTTGCCAACATACAAGAAAAGCTAGTAAAATTGTAAAGTTAATCAACTGAAAGATTGAAAACACAAATTAATCAATAACTTATTTCCACTAACACCCTTTCTCAGACCATTCTTTTTTGTGTATCATCATAATCAAATAAGCTTTGGTAGACTTTAATATGGTTTCTTTCTTTCCGTTTGATGTAGATATTAAAGTAATTCTGAAAACCCATTCTGAATTTCTCTGTCTCCCCAATCAACAGATTAATCTAGAACAACCTTGTTTGTTGAGAAGAACTAAGGACTGAGTTAGGAGGAAATCCTCTTACCGAAGATTCCTTCTTGTTTTTGTGTTTTGGTAGGTTGTGGCAGACAGCAGTCTGGAAAGCCCAGCTGGTTTGGCTATTGACTGGGTCACCAACAAGTTGTATTGGACAGATGCAGGTAGTAAATTCCATTATCCTGTGTAAGATAACTGCTACATCTAACAGTTCATTACTTCTGAAGGATTGCCTTCTCAGTTCTCACTATTCCTTCTCAAAAATTCATATTGTAAGGTCATAGATATGAAGTGTGAATGAAATCTCCTTACAGACTGCATCATGGTCATGATTTTCATAGAATCTTGTCTTTAGTAGACACAGTAGTGATTTACTAGAAATTCCAAGTCTGTATTTTGAGACTCCTGTTTTATAATGTCCAGGTAGAGCAAGGATAGATGGAGTGCAGCCTTGGGCATCATACACCCCAAGTCATTCTTTATTTTATTTATTTTATTGCAGATCTTGAAGATACTTCTCCAACCACCACTTTTTTTAAAGCAACAGAAAATCACTTCTTTGGACAATAGCATCTCTGTTGCTTATGTGGCTTCATGACAGTTTCCCAATCACTTTTTGCAGTTTTGTGTATCTTTGTTTAATATAATTTAATTTAATTTATTTAGTTATTGAAGACAGCTTACTGTTTTCCTTTTAGTCTGAATCTGTGTTGTCATAATCTGAGCTGAACAAAGTCTTTGGCTGGTGTATTTACTTTCTGGAAAGTGACTTCCATGTTGATTGGATTCTTTGTGTGTATGTGCGTTTGTGTGTGCTGCTTCCTTTGACTGTCATGATGGTTAGGGACTGTTTAGACATCAGAGGATTGCAGCTGTATGGTTCTCTGATGCCCAGCCAGTCCCTAAGCATCAACCTGGTTAAAGGAAATGACAAATGGTCCAATCCTTCCAGAAGTCAAACTGAAGCTGATTGAAGACTTCTGTGTTCAAGTAAGTTAATTACGGTTCATGACAGCAGTTTTGGACAAAAACAAAAGCATTGCAGTTCTTTTAAATACTGTAATCAAATAAGTTAAACTAACAAAAAATAAAGCTGCAAAAGTGACTGGGTAACTACTTCCAGTTTCCAAATAACACAAAGGGACTTAGAACCTTAAAAATAGTAAAAATAAATAAATAATAAAACTATGTAAAACCTTATATAAAATATTACTAATTAAATCAGTTACATTGCATCCAAGCAAAACTTAATAAAATTATAGCTTGTTAGTCTTAATCTTAGTTTATTTTTCTCCTTCACAAGGTATTTTTTGTAGGTACAAAGATTTTTCCCCTCCTCAGGTGGGAGGAGAGTATTCAAACATGCACTTTCACACCAACTTGATTATGATTGTAGCATTAAATTTGCCTTTTATTTCACTGATTTTGGTAGTATTTGCTTCGAGGTAAAGAAATGCAAGAATGCTGCCTGGTTGATCAACAGTTTGTAGATGTGGAAACTGAGATTCCAAATGGAAGATATTCAAGGAGGGCTGCAGTGTAAATCAGCTTATCTGTAGTTCCTCCTGGCATTCCTGTTAAGATTGATGGATTAGGATTAATTAAAGACTGAAGTTGACATTTCTATGTTTACAGCTCACTCTGTGGTCTTCTTTTGGTGGCTTACGATCTCTCTGTCCTTCCTTCTCTCGTTTATATAGGAACAGACCGGATAGAGGTGTCCAACACTGATGGAACTATGCGGACTGTGCTGATATGGGAGAATCTAGACAGACCCAGAGATATTGTGGTGGATCCTGTTGGAGGGTGAGGAGTTCTCTGTAGATGGCAGAACAATTAATTCTTGTGTCTTATTGCACTGAGGGTACACAACGGAGCCACTTTGCTAAAGCAGAGCATTGTCTAGATCTGGTCAATGCCTGGATGGGAGTCCATGTGGGAGCTTCCACGTAATAGCCCATTCAGTTCTGTGATAGAAGAAGGACAATGATATAAATATTCTAAATAAATTAATGAGCTGAAGAGTCAAGTAGCGTGTACTCTTAAGAGTTGTTAATCGTATAGACAAAACATACCTCAGTACTATGCTTTACAGTCTTTAGCTAAGTAGATAGAGGCAAAATAGTGCATTCTTTTTCCTTGAGACTAAAGCTGGAAACGATCTGATCTGCTGATTCTTGCATAAATATTCGGATGCTGGGGCGAGATTCTGTTACTTTATATTTGTGAGAAAGGCAAGAACTTGTACATTGAGATTGTTGATGATAGGATTGCTTCACTCTTTCTTTTTCTGGGGTCTTTGATACAAGTGAACAGATTCTTGTGCTGTGCAGCAACTAGAAAAGTTGAAAGCACCTGGCCAGTTTGCTGATAGAACTTGTTAGCAAAAACATCAATAACTAATCAGGGACAGGAGACATTCATACTCTTTTCTGGGGTTGTTTGCAGATTCATGTACTGGACTGATTGGGGGGCTAACCCAAAGATTGAGCGTGCAGGCATGGATGCCTCTAATCGCATGGTGATCATTTCTTCCAACTTAACCTGGCCCAATGGACTAGCCATTGACTATGAGTCTCAACGCTTCTACTGGGCAGATGCTGGTATGAAGACAATTGAATATGCTGGCTTGGATGGCAGTGATAGGAAGGTAAGAATGCCATGCTGAAATGAAGCCTTTTGGAAATTCATTAATAAATAAGAGAAACAAAAAGCTATTTGGGGAATGAAAATATTTGGTCCTGTGAAAATTAGTTCCACAGATGGACTAAGCTGTTATGTCTTAAGGGACAAGTGAACCTGACTTCTGTGTAAACAGAACTTACAGTGAAAAGTATGAATGGAAGTAGGCTGAATTCTTGGGGCTACTTGAAGCTTCTACACCAGGGATGGGCAACCTCTTGGGATTATGTATGCCATACATTAGCAAACCCAGAGAACACACCATGCTGACAGTTTTGCTGTCATGGCAATGGCATGTGCCATACAAGTAGAATTGTACTTCCAAGTACCTTATGCTCCTGTAATTTACCTCTTTAAAACATGTTTTTGCCCATTTTTAAAGAGAAAGCTGTTATCTCCTCTTCCTCCTCCTTGTTACTGCCATAGTACAGGTATGTATAATTGTGAGTCCTCTCTAAAACGTAGGTCAGGATTTTTAATTTATTTTTTACTGTGTTAAAAACATAGAAAAGAACAGAAGAACCAGTAAAAAGTCACTCAGTAGGAATAGAAAGAATTGTACTTCCAAGTACCTTATGCTCCTATAATTTATCTCTTTAAAACATGTTTTTGCCCACTTTTAAAGAGAAAGCTGTTATCTCCTCCTCCTCCTCCTTGCTACTGCCATAGTATGTGTAATTGTGAGTCCTCTCTAAAACATAGCTCAGGATTTTTAATTTATTTTTTACTGTGTTAAAAACATAGAAAAGAACAGAAGAACCAGTAAAAAGTCACTCAGTAGGAATAGAAATGCAATAGTAATGATGTATTTTAAAAATTCTATGAAAAGGTTCCAAAGGCCTAAAACAGTATCCATACAGAGTTTTCTGGGGACCTTAAAACTCAATCATTGCTTCATTGCATGCCACACAATGTGTTGAATCTCAAGATGATCATTTCTTTTTCCAGTGTGGTATTAGAAGTCTATTTAATGGCTTAGAAAATCAGTTTTCTCTGCCTCATGGTTAACCACCACAAAATGGGCAGATCATTTGAAAGCATGTAGACATCAACAGTAATATTAACAAAGTAATGTTATGACTCAGCACAAAATTAGTATGAATAATAACTGTGTTTTGGTATTGTATTCATGCATCCATTTAGTATTGTATAGTAATTGTTACTAACTTAAATACAGTGGTGCCTCGCTTAACGAGTGCACCGTTTAACGACGAATCCGCATAGTGACGTCGCAATTGCGATTGCAAAAGCGATCGCATTGCGATGTTTAGATAGGGAAAAAATAGCTTTGCGATCACAGTAATATTAACAAAGTAATGTTATGACTCAGCACAAAATTAGTATGAATAATAACTGTGTTTTGGTATTGTATTCATGCATCAATTTAGTATTGTAAACTCATTGTTACTAACTTAAATACTGTCTTTTAATTGTTGTAAGCCACCTTGGCCCCTTTTTAAGGAGAAAATCAGATTAAAAATACTTTACATAAATAAACTGACACCCCCACCCCCTCAGAACCTGTGACTGGATGAGATCCAGGCATATATCTGTGGCATTCAGCTCTGCTCTCACCTGTCCGTCACAGCTGGGCAGGGGAACCTCAGCCAATGAGAGGACGGAGGGTGGTGCAGAGGTGGGAGGAGCTGGGTTATATAAGGTGTGTGTGATAGCAGATCAGTTTGAGAGATGAGAGAGTTTGATAGAGAGTGAGAAAGAGCCTGTCAGTGAGGGAAAAAGTCTGTGTGAGCTAATATCTTATAAACAGTGATTGACAACTTGATTTTATACGTGTGATTTACTCCTTTTATTTTTGTGTAATCAATAAACATTTTTATTTGTTTGAAAGAAACACTTGTCCATTTGATTTTAAGGATAGGTTGGTGGCAGCAGTTTTGGTGAGAGGTAGTGAGCACTCTTAGAGGCCTGGATTGGTAGAGGCTTGAGAGTGGCCCGCTACAATATCTGACACATCATCTAATTTGCCACATCAGCAATTAGATGCATTACCTGAGATCTTTACTTAAAAGGTGGTGCAGTGTCCGATATATCTAAACTTTTTCCCCTTGAATGTTTGGTAGCTGGAGATACCTGGAGACAGCCAGTTTGGAAATTAAGATTTCGTTCAATCGGTTAGGCAAAACTGTGCATCCAGTTCCTTGCCCCAACTGGAGTCAGAGGGTGTATAGTGTTCTATGGACTGTGTATTGCCCACCTCTGTGGTACAGTTTGAGTCATCTCTTTGGTCATATCTCCTAGGCCAGTTCCGTTGCCACTTCTTGGAATTCGTTCATTTCTTGCAGTGGGTTGTTGACATGCGTAGTCAAAAGCTTCATAACGTTGTGTAAATTTTGCTTTTGGACCTGACAGGTACTCATTGGAAGCAATCTGCCTCACCCTTTTGGGCTTACTCTGTATGGAGCTCGGATCTACTGGACTGATTGGCAAGCAAAGAGCATCCAGAGTGCTGACAAAAGGACAGGGCAGGATCGTGAAACTCTGCAGGACAACCTAGAGAATCTTATGGACATCCACGTCTTCCATCGAAATAGGCCCTCAGGTATCAAGGAGTACCACATCAAGATTGGAAGGCATTCAGTCTCTTGCCTGTGAGCAGCTAGAGTAGGAGTAGGCAAATTAATGCCCTCCAGATGTTTTGGACTACAGGTCCCATGGTATCTGATCACTGGCTATGCTGCTAGGAGTCTCTTAAGAACTGTCGTCTGAAGGGAAGCAGAGTATCTGCCTACGAGCCAGAGCAGTGATTCCCAACCTTGAGTAACCCAGGTGTTCTTGGACTGCAACTCCCAGAAGCCTTCACTACTAGTTGTGCTGGCTGGGATTTCTGGGAAGTGCAGTCTAAGAACACCTGGATTTCCCAAGGTTGGGAACCAACTGACTGGCTAACTAGAGTAATTGTCTAGATTTCGTCCTCATGCCATAATCTCCCTGAAGATCTAGACCAGAGTGTATGTGAATGAATTTCCTGTGACTCTTCCATGGAAAGTGTTTCGGAGCTCATTTTAGGTCCATACAGCTGCAGAATTTTGAATGCTGTTGCTTTGTCCTTTTTGTTGTGATATATTGCTTTATTCTTTCTCTTTCAGTGCACACACCGTGCAATGTTAATAATGGTGGATGTAGTCATCTGTGCCTTCTGGCCCCTCTTCCTAAGAGTTATAGCTGTACTTGTCCTACTGGCATCAACTTGCAACCAGATGGCAAAACATGCTTGCCAGGTGGGTTTCTTTATGTTTCTTCCTTCACTTTGGTTCATAGACTATTTGGGTCTTCCTAAGTCCCACATTCTGCTTCTTCTGGTAGGCTTCCAGATACAAAGAATGATAAGGAGTTTTTTTTCAGTTCTAGACACAGAAAATGGAAGAGGTACATTTTAGTTACCTGAGTGAATTTGCCCTCCATTTCAGGTAGACCTCTGTGACTTTTACATCATAATAATTGAAACCATGTGACTGTAATGAAGATTATTAAATGCTTTTAAAAAAAACCCTTAATGCTGTACAATTAATAGAAATGCAATGGCAAAATGCATTAAAATCTGTCCCTAGGAAACCTAAATGCTGTGATCAGAGTACCTTCTTTCTGTACGTATATTTAGTATAACTGCATATGTTTGTGTACAATAATTTTGTTTCAACTTAGGAGGAGAAAGAAAATTATAGAAGGAAGTGAATCAAATTTCAGTATATTAAGGTAGCTAACAGGGCAAAAGAGAGCAAGGAATGGTGAACATGGAGAGAGATCTGAGTGTAATAAATCACGGGACACTGAAACCTTTGCCCATTCAAAATAGCTGTCTAGTTCTTTGCATTGGTCATATGCTGTTCCATGTGTTTCCTAGGTGTTTCTCTGCTGTCTTGAGAAGCAGAAATAATATGTGCTTTATTGAGAAATTTGTGATTCTTCTTGCTTATCATCTTTGTTTTCACCATACAGAAAAATTCACATCCTGGGTTTTAAAGCCATAAAGTTCCAGCTGCTGTGTTTTTTCATCCATACCCCACACGGACCTAAAGTTATAGGTCATTTGGTGAAATCTTTAATTAAAATGATTTCCTGGAGATATATCATTTTACAGTGTTTGTAATTACCATCTTCGTCGCTGTGTTGTTGTACAGTTCTTGCTGCCTTCCAGATATCTCAGAGATCTATGAAACATTTTTGACAAGGCTCTGGGTTGCCAGCCCCTAATACTGCAGTGTCTTTACCTCTGCAGGTATGAACAGCTTCCTGATCTTTGCTAGAAGGACAGACATTCGCATGGTTTCACTTGACATTCCATATTTTGCTGATGTTGTCGTCTCTGTCAACGTTACCATGAAAAATACCATTGCCATTGGAGTCGATCCTCAGGAAGGTCAGACGTTTTGTGCAGCTTCACCATTTTAAGTATTGTTTCATTCAAAGTTACTGCTGACTCATTAGGGAAGGAATTAACACTATTGGTTGATTGCTACTATTTTTTTAATGGAGTACGCTTGCAGTTTTCACCTTTTTCTTAATACTTTTTTTCAACAACAGTACCTGAACTTCAGTTAGTTTCATTGACCTTCCACTATGATTGTACTATATATTTTGGTTCAGTCCAGTGAGAAATGAAAAGCAACTATTGATTTTGGTTTTTGGAAAATTCTGTTAAGAGTTGTTAGACTTTGTCCAATAATTGAATATTAGCTAAATACAAACAAACAAATCCCAAACAAGAAACCCTTATATACCTATGCATGTATGTGCCAGTGAGTAATTTTCCAAGTAGGGTCAAGACAGTGATGAATTCTACCATGATGAAAAAGAGGACATAATGAACAAGAAACACATCGGTGCAACTTGAGTATTCAGTTGTGGACAATGTTTTGTATTGCTTGTGGAAGGTGCACTTCTTCACTAAATCACACATGTTGCAGCACTAACATTTTTAAAAGCTAGAGGATGGTGCCCAGAAATAAAGCTCTTCTTACCATCTAATTCTTTGTGTGTGTGTGTGTGTGCGTGTGCGTGTGCGTGTGCGTGTGCGTGTGTGTGTGTGTGTGTGTGTGTGTGTGTGTGTGTGTGTGTGTGTACACGCAAGTGCAAGTGATGGTCCCTTCCTCTCCCATAGAGCTTCAGCAGACATTAAATGCACATTTTAAAGGTTTTTTCCATTCACAAGGCCATCCAAATTGGAGGCTAAGAATTCCCCTGCTGGATGAAAAAAGCATAGCTTCAAAAAGTTGTTTCCAACCCCTGGACAAAATTCAGTATCTTTGATGTTACCCTGTTACATTTACTATCTTTGCTGCCTGCCAAAAATAGGGAGAACATAGAAAATGCCAATATGATGGTAGATTACACTAGATCCTGAGGATGCCTTTGTGTTGTTTACCATTAAGTAATGCTAAGGGTTCGTCGTCTACTAACGGTCCCCCAATGTTTCATATTTTATCATCAGGAAAGGTTTATTGGTCAGAGAGCACACTGAGGAAGATTAGCAGGGCTTCCCTGGATGGCTCACAGTATGAAGATATTATTACTACAGGTAATAGTTAATTTGTTAAAGTACTCATAGACCCTTCTGGCTGTTTCCAAAGAGAGATCCTTATGGATGATTACAGTTTTACTAATGTAGTCTTCTCTATTGAGACTATTTGTGGAATATCCCCCAAGTCTTTTTAAAGAAGGAAAATTCTAATGTGAGGGGATCACAAGTATAATGCCATTGTCTTAACTGTGCTTTCTTACTAGGGTTACAGACAACGGATGGATTAGCAGTGGATGCTATTGGTCGAAAAGTATATTGGACTGACACAGGAACTAATAGGATTGAAGTGGGTAATCTGGATGGATCAATGAGAAAAGTTTTGGTATGGGAGAAACTGGACAGTCCAAGAGCGATTGCATTATACCATGAGATGGGGTGAGTTCTGGCAGTGCATGTCTTGTTGGTTAAGGGAAGAGCAAAAGGTTGGGAAGACTTGGGGACAATGACTCAGCTTTTCAGTGAGTTGCTAAATTCTTCTTTTCTTCAGGTTTATGTATTGGACAGACTGGGGAGAGAATGCCAAACTGGAACGAGCAGGAATGGATGGCTCCAACCGCGTGGTCCTTATCAACAACAACCTGGGGTGGCCAAATGGACTTGCTGTAGATCGGGCTGGATCACAACTGCTGTGGGCTGATGCACATACTGAGGTAGAAATTGGCGCAAGAAATGTGCAGTGGAATTTGGAACATGGGTGAAGGGAAGGACGATGTGGGAGCGACTCAAGAGTATTTGGGGGATAAGAATGAATTTGTACCAGCATGTTCATCCCTTGACAACTTTAATATAAGAAGGAACATTTCCAACTTATGGCAACCCTTTCTGGGTTTTGCTACATATAGTCCCTTCTTCTGGGGATGGTGCCATAAGACTATGCAGCTTGCTCAACATGACACAGTGTGGCTCTTCTCTCAAAAGACACAGTGAGGAATCAAACTCCCAATCTTTGCAGTCAGATACCCAACTCACTGAGCAATCCAGCCAGGAAGAAATTAATAATACATCTCTTCATTTCAGCGGATTGAGTCTGCAGACCTGAATGGTGCAAACCGCCGCACTCTACTCTCTCCAGTGCAGCACCCTTATGGCCTCACTCTGCTGGATTCCTACATCTACTGGACTGATTGGCAGACTCGAAGCATTCACAGAGCTGACAAGGATACTGGTGCTAATGTCATCCTAGTCAGGGCAAATCTGCCTGGCCTAATGGATATCCAAGCTATTGACAGGGGAAAGCCTCTTGGTAAAATTCCAGATTTTCACAACCATGTTTCGCAACCATGCTTCAGAATCTTCAGCAAATTTTTTTTTGTATAAGCTGGCTTTCAGCAGGGACTCTTAAGAAGGGAGTCATTGTATGCAGAGAAAAGATAACTGCTCTTTTCACCCCTTGGGCTCCATCCCTTCTGTTGCTTAGAAGCAGTATTCTCCACTCCAGTGCTTTAATTCTTGCAATTCACTCCCAACATTGTTAATTTTTAAGTCAGAATGCTTACTTGGCCTGCATGCCTTTTCTGCAGGTCTTACTCCATTGCCTAATCTGTTCTACTCAATACGTTTTTTAAGAGGCCTTGCTTTACACAAAGTGCTTCAACACCTGAAGGCTTTTAATCTGAACCCGTTTTTGCACACACACTGTTATTGTGGTTATGCTTTGTTTCTTTGATTTTAATTTGCAGAAGCCTGGCTTCTCTGTCCTGTAGGGCTAGGATTTTCACTACCTTGTTGGTGACATGGAGTTGACAAATAATGCAATATTAAGGCTCTTAGCCAGTTATTTGTTGTTCACCTTGGATGAAGACAACAACATTCATATATTCAGTGATAGATTTTGGCAGACTTCCTTTGCTGAAGTTTGATATTCCACTCATTTCTCCACCTTCTCCAGTAGTTGAAGCATCATGAGCTAGGTAGACTTCATACTTAAAGTAGACTGGGTGCTTGGGAATAAAGTTTTCATTACAGTTTAAGAAAGTAGTGAATTAATAATTTTCATTTCTCCTAAGGTGCTAACAAGTGTGGCCTGAGGAATGGTGGTTGCTCCCATCTCTGCCTTCCAAACCCTGAAGGCTTCTCATGTGCTTGCCCTACTGGCATCCAACTGAAGAGTGACAAGAAGACCTGCGATCCTTCTCCTGAAACTTACCTGCTCTTCTCTAGTCGGGGTTCCATCCGGCGAATCTCATTGGATACTAATGATCACACTGATGTTCACGTCCCTGTCCCAGAGCTGAACAATGTAATCTCTCTGGACTATGACAGTGTAGATGGCAAGATTTACTACACAGATGTCTTCCTAGATGTTATTAGGTAAAAAAATCTATGAGATACCCATGTGTGTGTGTTCCATGAAGTTTGTGAAACCTGATTCCTTGTGTTAGTTCATCTTTGTGTACTGAAATGTGTTCAGCAACCAGAGATTTCAGTGAGTATCATCTTTCCCTCCTTCTCTGTGGTTTCCTCACTCAGGCGAGCAGACCTGAATGGCAGCAATATGGAAACAGTTATTGGCCAAGGATTGAAGACTACAGATGGTCTAGCTGTGGATTGGGTGGCTAGGAACCTCTACTGGACGGACACAGGCCGCAATACAATTGAAGTTGCAAGATTAGATGGCAGCTGCCGGAAAGTACTAATTAATAACAGTCTGGATGAGCCTCGAGCAATAGCTGTCTTTCCCAGAAAGGGGTAAGCCTGGGGCCAGTTAAGAGGCGGATGCTTACAAAGTGTGTTCAAAGAGCAAGTGCAGAAGTTAGAATGAGGTGGAAGGAAGAGTATGGAGGTCTGCCTTAAGACTGCAGGTGTTGGCTGGACTGCTCCTTCTTACAAACAATAGCTCTAGCTAGCCACCTGCTGTTCATCAGGCATAGCAGATCATCCAGCTAAAGCCTCTCTTGCTAGACCAAGGACAGGGAGGGCCACAGTCTGGTACATGAACAGAGCCATTTAAAGACAGATTAGTTGACATGATGAAGGACTGTAAGAAATCAGTTGTCTGAAAAAGAGTGTTTTCACAGAGGCAGACAGGACCTGATTCTGTTATTGTAAGACTCGTCAAAGTCAGCAGTTCTACTGAACTGGAAGAACCTCTGAGCCCCTGGTACTGAGCAGACTTAGCAGACTTTGCTCATTTGCTCTGTAAAGAAGAATGGCAGAAAGTTTCAGAAGGGTCTGCTTGAGCCTCCACCTTCAGAAAAGAATCACCTGGTGTAAAAACATCTAGCATATATATACTGGATTTTGAATTCACTTTCTTCTTCTTCAGATACCTCTTCTGGACAGACTGGGGGCACGTTGCTAAAATTGAGCGTGCAAACCTGGATGGCTCTGAGCGCAAGATACTGATTAACATCGATTTAGGCTGGCCTAACGGCCTGACCTTGGATTATGACACCAGAAGGTCAGTATAACATTGTAGCTGAAAATTGCTGGCTGTTTAGTTGGCATTATCAGTTTTTAAAACCTTTTCTCCTGGTTTATCTTGTTGTATTTATTTAGTTATTTTATATTACAAATTCTTATAGAAGGGCCCCTTCATGGATTGCTGCCTTGTCGTGGCGAGGGGGCTTGAGTAACTCAGAGAAGCTATGGGCTATGCCGTGCAGGGCCACCCAAGTGCTCCTTCTTACAAACAATAGCTCTAGCTAGCCACCTGCTGTTCATCAGGCATAGCAGATCATCCAGCTAAAGCCTCTCTTGCTAGACCAAGGACAGGGAGGGCCACAGTCTGGTACATGAACAGAGCCATTTAAAGACAGATTAGTTGACATGATGAAGGACTGTAAGAAATCAGTTGTCTGAAAAAGAGTGTTTTCACAGAGGCAGACAGGACCTGATTCTGTTATTGTAAGACTCGTCAAAGTCAGCAGTTCTACTGAACTGGAAGAACCTCTGAGCCCCTGGTACTGAGCAGACTTAGCAGACTTTGCTCATTTGCTCTGTAAAGAAGAATGGCAGAAAGTTTCAGAAGGGTCTGCTTGAGCCTCCACCTTCAGAAAAGAATCACCTGGTGTAAAAACATCTAGCATATATATACTGGATTTTTAATTCACTTTCTTCTTCTTCAGATACCTCTTCTGGACAGACTGGGGGCACGTTGCTAAAATTGAGCGTGCAAACCTGGATGGCTCTGAGCGCAAGATACTGATTAACATCGATTTAGGCTGGCCTAATGGCCTGACCTTGGACTATGACACCAGAAGGTCAGTATAACATTGTAGCTGAAAATTGCTGTCTGTTTAGTTGGCATTCTTAGTTTTTAAAACCTTTTCTCCTGGTTTATCTTGTTGTATTTATTTAGTTATTTTATATTACAAATTCTTATAGAAGGGAATCAAGGTGGCATATACCACCTTAAAAGTACTTATATTTATAATTGCAATGAATTGAAATATTGATATTAAAATATGATTAAACTTAAATATTAAAAATATTACTAATTTAAAAGAACTTAAAGCCAATTTAAAAATATGATAAAAATAGAATATGATGTGTGCACACGCACAGAGAGAGAAAGAGACACACACAGAGAAGTTTCAATCCTGCCACAGGATTCACTTTATGAAAAGTTTTAACAAGAAGGCTTTCACCTGTTAGCAGAAGAAAAATACCAGTCTAGCTTCCCATGGGAGGGAATGCCATAGACTGGGAGCAACCACTGATAATGCCCTCTTTTGAATCCTCACCCACATAACTTATGTTACAGTAAACCAGATAGGAACAGAAGCAACTGGCACACCAGATTTAACTATACAAATGCACTCCTAGCCGCTGCTGAAATCTGGGCATCAGGCTGAGGGATGAATCTAGGATACGCCCAAGCTGTGAACCTGAGTTCTCAGGGAGTGAAATCTCATGTAACATGAGTGGAATCCTTATTCCCTAATTTGCTTTGTGACTAACCAGGAGCATCTCTGTCCTGCCAGAATTAAGATTCAGTCTATTCTGTCTCCTGCAGTCCATGATGGCTATCAAACATTGGTTAAACACCAACACATCTTCCTTAGAATTAGGTGGAAAGAAGAGATAGAGCTGAGAGTCATCAGCACACTGAACCCCAAACCTCTGGACAACTGGTTTCATGCACATGCTAAATTGCATATGGGGAAAAACAGAACCCTGAGGGACCCCACAGGCCAAAGCTCAGACTGTCAAACAGGAGTCCTCCAGCACCATCTTCTGAGTTTGCCCTTCCAGGAAGGACTAGAACCAACGTTCCCTCTAAGCTGCGCAGCAGTGCTTTGAGTGCACACAGCTGAGCATGTTTTGCTGCCCATTTGCTTCTGATTGTGGCCAAAGCCCCCCTCACATGTGGCAGAGACCCCATCCAGAGCTCTGGAAAATTAGAGGGAATGTTTACTATCAGTAAAACAGTGCCTAAAGTTCCATCCCAGTGAGGCAGCTCAGAAGGCTATCTGGGTTTATGTTATTGAAAGCTGCCAAGTGTTCCAGTAGAACCAATAGGGACAGGCTCCTCCCTTCCAGTTTCTAGTGTAGGTCATCTACTAAGGTGACCAACTCTATCTGAGTCCCATAAACCGTTCTGAAGCCAGACTGATATGGTCTAGATAGTCTGTTACGTCTAGAAAGCCCTAGAGCTGAGAGGCCACCACATTCTTTAGCACCTTGTCTCAAAATGGAACATTGGAAATTGGCTGGTAATTGTCCAATAGAGGGAGGTTGGGAGAGGTTTTTTTTTCTAAAAGAAGCCTCATTATTGTCTCTTCTAGGCGGGATGGGATTGCACTTTTACTTTTCTTTACTTTTGTTAGATTTTTTACCCTGCCCCCCCCTAGACAAAGTCTACTCCGGGCAGCTTACATACATAATAAAAACGTCACAATATAACAAATATCAGAGAGGCACTCACTATTTCCCTTACCCACTCAGTCAGTCCTCCCTTGGCTGCTTTTATACACCAGGAAAGATAAGGACCTGGTGCACATGTAGTGGGTCTCACTTCTTCCAATATCCTGTCCATATCCTTAAGCTGCACAACTTGGAATGACTCAATTAACAGAGGACCAGCAGGTGCCAAAGTTGCATCCATAGGATCTGTATCAGCTACAGTATATAAGTCAGAGTAAAATACTGTGCAAATTTTTCACAACCACCTGTCAAGTGGTCCACACTCTCTTCTTATGGACCAAGGCATAATAGGCCCTTGACCTCTCAAAACAGCTCCATAGGACATTTTTGTGCAAATGCAGTTATGACAGAGAAAGTGGCTTTATTTGGTGCCACCAACTATGATGGAATAGGCCTTCCAGTGGCTCTCTAGCTCAGGTTCTCTCCAAATTTTTTTTTGCCATCATCACTTTCCATTCCACTCTCTTCATCAACATCAGCTCTCTGGTAAACCAGGGAGCTAGTTTGGCTCCATAGGAGGGGAGCCATAGGAGTGATTTTATCAATGACCTGGCCATTTGCTCATTCTGTAGATTTTGGGGCATCAGCTGACAGATGCATATTCAGGGAAAGGAGAGAAAATAGGTATCTATGATGTTACAGTGAATGTTGGTTTCACTTCTGTCCTTTCCACTCTTGTAGGATTTACTGGGTAGATGCTCATCTGGATCGCATAGAGAGTGCTGATCTCAATGGGAAGCTACGCCAGGTGCTGGTCAGCCAAGTATCACATCCCTTTGCTTTGACACAGGTATGGAGGAACTTGGTGAGAAACGCTGCAGTGTTGTTTGTGTAGCAGCACTCATAAAGAAACTGTATGTTTGACTTGTGGATGTTTGAAGAAATTCTCATGGGTTGTTGCTGCTATATTACCAAGAAGGAGAAAGTATGTTATTTGGACTTCTGTGAACAAGCTTCTGTGTAATTAATTTTTCTTCTTCTTTGTGAGTAGCAGGACAGGTGGTTGTACTGGACAGACTGGCAGACTAAATCTATTCAGCGAGTGGACAAGTATTCTGGTCGGAATAAGGAAACCATCTTAGCCAATGTTGAAGGGCTTATGGATATCATTGTGGTCTCTCCTCAAAGGCAGACTGGTAAAGGCAATAATCTGGATTTCTTCACTCTGTAATTTGAATCAAAGGTTTATTTATTCATTTAAAATATTTTTATCCCATCTTAAAAAGACCGACGGCAGCCTACAATATTGAGAGACAATATTTAAAGTTAAAAGACAATATTTAAAGCTAAGAACAATGTGTATAAAGAGGCATCTTATATCATTAAAGACAATAATTAAAGCTAGGAACAATATGTGTGCAGATATTTTTTTTAAAAAGTCACTCTGAGAGGTGGAAAACTCAAAAATTGAGAACACTCCATCTACAAATCACACATGGGTGGCTAGATTATTGGGGGAAGGCTTGCCTAAAGAGAAAGGTCTTTGCTTGCTTGCAGAAGGACAGCAAAGATGGTCCCAGACAGGTCTCCTGTGGGCAGCAACAGAGAAGGCTGTCTCCTGTGTTCCCAGCAGATGCACCTGTGAGGGTGGTGGGACCAAGAGAAAGGCCTCTCCAGATGATCTTAACACCCGAACTTGGACTCAAGCCATTTAGGGCTTTATGGGTTAAAACCAGCATTTTGAATTGTGCCTGGAAACTGAAACAGGCCTGAAGCCAGATTGAAATTGATCTAGATAATCTGTCTCATCCAAAAACGTCTGGAGCCGAGGGGCCACAACCTGCTGTAGCATTTTCCCCAAGAATGGGAAGTTGGATACTGGTAGATAATTACTCAGTATTGTTGGGTCCAGAGAGGCCTTTTTTAACCATAGTCTAACTATTACCTCCTTCAGGCTTGTGGGGTTCAAACTAGACTTAGCTTATCATGCATTTAGAAACAGTGCTCCCTTTAGTGGTGAAGGACATCTGTTTGTCATAGCATGTGGCCTTCATTACCTCTGTGCTTTGCTGCATTCCAGTCTTGTGACTGGTCTTCAGTATATCACAAGAGTACACCCCTCACATTTCATAAATACATCTTTTCATGTGACAACACTGAAGAAATGACACTTGGCTACAATGTAAAGCAGTGAGTACAGTATACAGCTTGTATAACAGTGTAAATGTGCTGTCCCCTCAAAATAACGCAACACACAGCCATTAATGTCTAAAGCACTGGAAACAAAAATGAGTACACCCCTAAGTGACAATGTCCAAAATGGGCACAAAGTGTCAATATTTTGGGTAGCCACCATTATTTTCCAGCAGTGCCTTAACCCTCTTGGGCATAAAGTTCACCAGAGCTTCACAGGTTGCCACTGGAGTCCTCTTCCACTCCTCCATGACGACATCACAGAGCTGGTGGATGTTAGAGACCTTGCATGCCTCCACCTTCCGTTTCAGGATGCCCCACAGATGCTCAATAGGATTTAGGTCTGGAGACATGCTTGGCCAGTCCATCCCCTCTACCCTCAGCTTCTTTAGCAAGGCAGTGGTCGTTTTGAAGGTTGCTTGGGGTCATTATTATGTTGGAATACTGCCCTGCGGTCCAGTCTCCGAAGGGAGGGGATCATGCTCTGCTCCAGTATGTCACAGTGCATGTTGGAATTATGGTTCCCTCAATGAACTGTAGCTTCCCAGTGCTGGCAGCACTCATGCAGCCCCAGCCTATGATACTCCCACCACCATGCTCGACTGTAGGCATGACACACTTGTCTTTGTACTCCTCCCCTGGTTGCCACCACATATGCTTGACATCACCTGAACCAAATAAGTTTATCTTGGTCTTACTGGACCACAGGGCGTGGTTCCAGAAATCCATGTCCCTAGTCTGCTTGTCTGCAAACCGCATGCGAGCTTTCTTGTGCATCATCTTTAGAAGAGGCTTCCTTCTGGGATGACAGCCCTGAAGACCAATTTGATGCAGTGTGCTGCTTATGGTCCAAGCAGTGACAGCCTGACCCTCAACCCCTTCAACCTCTGCAGCAATACTGGTAGCACTCATATGTCTACTTCCCAAAGCCAATCTCTGGATATGACGCTGAGCACAGGCACTCAACTTGTATGGTCGACCATGGCAAGGCCTGTTCAAAGTGGAACCTGTCCTGCTGTATGGTCTTAGTCACCGTGCTTCAACTCAGTTTCAGGGTTTTGGCAATCTTCTTATAGCCTAGGCCATCTTTATGTAGAGCAACAATTCATTTTTTCAGATCCTCAGATAGTTCATTCCCATGAGGAGTCATGTGGAACTTCCAGTGACCAGTCTGAGAGAGTGAGAACAATAACAACTGCTCCCCCTTCACACCTGAGACTTATGACACTAATGGGTCTCATGACACCAGGGAAGGAAAACGGCTACTTGGGCCCAATTTGGGCATTGTAATTTATGGGTGTACTCATTTTTGTTGTCAGCGGTTTAGACATTAATGGCTGTGTGTTGCGTTATTTTGAGGGGGCAGCACATTTGCACTGTTATACAAGCTGTATACTCACTGCTTTGCATTGTAGCCAAGTGTTTTTCTTCAATTTTATGTTTTTTGTTTGTTTGTTCTATTTATGCCCCGCCTATCTGGTCGTTTCGACCACTCTAGGCGGTTTACAACATAAAGATAACAAATATATAGAAGGGATTATAACACAAATGTTGTTACATGAAAATATATACTAAAATATTTATGAAATGTGAAGGGGTGTACTCTGTGATATTTGCATATGTAATTACTGAGGCATGCATCTCTGAAGAAATCCCATTAGAATCATAGAAAAGTGAAGTTGGAAGGAGCCTACAAGGCCATCAAGTCCAACTCCCTGCTCAACGCAGGAATACAATCAAAGCATATCTGCCAGGTGTTTATCCATTGTCAGAGGAAAAAGTGCTAATCCCAGATAATTTCTTTTAATATCATGCTAAGTATGATGTGGAGTCCATAGGTTACTCACCTTTGATGTAACATCTAGTAATTGTGTACATTGATTACTATTGTATCATGGGTTTAGGAGTGATTATGAAGAACCTTGGGGTGGGGGCTTGCCATGCAAAAAATATTCTGGGGCATTAGCTTCTGGCAGCCTACACTGTTTCGATAAAACCCATGCTGGTACACATACTTGAGGAACTCTATTCACATACACCACAAACTTTAGAATGTGTCTCTCCTGTAGCATGAGGGAATCCACTTTCTCTCAGTTGATGTAGACAGGAAGCATGTTTCTACAGACAGCAAGTAAGGGGCAAAAATTTTGAACCCACTTTGAGAAAAAATGAAATACTTGAATATTATCTACCAAAAAGTTGAGATATTGCTGTTATTTTTCAATTGTTTTTATTCTATTTGCTGTGAGCCACCCAGAGTAGACATTGTCTAGATGGGCGGCATAGAAGCATAATAAATAAATAAATGAACAAACAAAAAGCGAATTCCCACTGTATACCAAACTGAATTGGTGGAAAATAAAGGAAAGGGCATGTCTCAATTGGTTCTCAGGGGCTGTCCTTCATTTATAAGAGGCATTCTAAAACACCTGCAGTCAAGAACACAGTTGGAAAGGACACAAAAGCTGCTTCTCACTCCAGATATTACAATTGCAGGAGCAAATTAGCTTCTATCCACAGCCTGTGGGCCACAGGTGTTTCTATGCATTTCTTTACTTACCTTCAGAGAAGTGAGTACTTTCTAGTCACTCTTCCATAGGTAAGGTAAACTGATGAATTTGCAGATAAGTGTTTGTGTTGTGAAGGCAGAAATCTCCCATTTAGTCTTGTTTGTCAGCATCCTATACCCTCTTTTAGAAGGAAGGATGAAGAGAACAAAGGGACTTTATAACTAGAGCCCTTGGAGATAAATTTATTCATATGCCCTAGAACTGGCTAAAGATAGATCTCTCTAACATACTTTGTCATAATGACAATAATTTCACTTAATGGTCTAAACAAGTGTTTGAGTCATCCCTCCTTTTACTATATATGCTTCCAAATTGGTTTTTTTCTTGGCTGGGGGGAAGGGGGAGCAGTAAGCATATTGTGATATGAAATTGAATAGAAACTTGTTGATTGGGGAGGAGTGCCAAATAAGGTAAAGAAGTCAGCTTTACTATGACCCAGTATTTACAGCCTCCTAGTGGTCCAGACATTAGCAGGACGCACCATGAAAAAAATAAAGACTAGGATCTTGTGAAAGACTAGGATTTCATCAGGTCATTTGATATTGTTTCCTGGGATCAATTAATCATGTCAGTGTTGGATATATATGTCACAGGTCTTCCACATCATAAGTAGATATTTGAATTATGCATGCCCACAACTGAACAGTAGGCATTTGTACTAGTGATAATATCTAGAGCAGCTTTCTGAGTTCTTCGTGTGCCAGTTATAAAGATAAAAAGAGAAGACCTCCAAAAACAGAGGAGGGACACTTAAAGCCCTTGTTGAATACTGGCAGGTGAAGTTCCATGTTTTACCGCCTTTTATTACTGTCATCTTTTCATCTGAATTTGGACTCCTAAAGCTGTTGGTTCTACCACTCCTTAAATATCTAATTTGCACTGAATACCCTATTAGGAGCACTATAGGTTGGATGCAGCTTGACAGCACGTACACTTCACAGGCTTGTCTGTAGCATATAGGATAAGCTGTGTTTCTAAAATCAGGTGCAGGTGTATACTAAGATTTTGTAGCTTTGAGACAAGATGCAGCTCAGTTTGCATGCAGGCAGACAAGGATCAAAATGGCAATAGATTAGATGTTTGGCTACCAGGCACCAGATCCACAAAAAGGGCTTACATCAGGCAGAAAATCAAATTCCAAGGCAGCACTAGAGGGTCAGAGGAACCAGAAGCAAATCTCAAGTCAAAGACAGACAGATAGGCAGGAGTCATGATTCAGGGACGTAGAAGAGCAGGCCAAGTCATCCAGAGCAAGAGGAGTTGTTCAGATAAGTAGATTGGCTGCAAAGACTTGAGAATCACTATTGTCTAAAACAACCCAGGGTACAGCAGGCCCTTAAAAGGTGGTAATCCATGTTAAACTAGGAGATCAGTTACTGTACTCTGTTCCAGCTAGAATTGTGACCTTGGGAATTTCTCTTTCACTATAGCCTAGCCTCCAAGGTCTCTTGAGGTCCCTGACTGCCAGTGGTTTGGTAGAGGTCCTGGTTCAAGGCCTTCTTTCAGCTGCACACATGCATGGATACATGCACATACACAATGTGACACCTTGCAGATTCACATCACATTTAGTGACAAAAATGTGCGCAGTCTTAATCTGGCAATGTATGACTATGTATGTAGGTTTTCTCCCTGCTGATTTACAGTATTTTCACCAACCTCTAAATCAGTTGCTTGGTTGCCTCTGTTACTATAAAATCTGTGGGTGAAAAGTTTATGTTAGAACCACTGTGTTAGACAATCAGACATAAGTATTTTGGTGAAATGAATGTGAAGCCCTTGGGGTTGAAGACAGAAAATGATACTCTTGCTTCAGATGTGATGTCTTATCTTCCAGGCACAAACGCTTGTGGAGTGAATAATGGAGGCTGTACTCATCTCTGCTTTGCCAGGGCTTCTGATTTTGTTTGTGCATGTCCAGATGAACCAGATGGGAAACCTTGCTCCACAGGTAAATTGTTTGGGTTGTGAACCTCCAAGCACAAATCATAAGCTGTGCTTCTGTTGAACAAGGATTGCTCCAAATGGGACTTTGCTATGCATTAGAAATAAGCTAGCTTAAAGAGCCATATATATATATAGAAATATAGAAATATAGAAATATATCTCCTTGGCAAAGTATTCAAAGGCCTCACTGCAGAAAGCTCTATTTTGTTTCCTCACTACTCCATTGATTTAAAATTTGGTTGGAAATGTATCCCATGAGGAAAATCACAGATGTATATTTTAGTGCTAAGATTTACAGTACAGAGTTGCTTGTTCTATTTCATTGGCATTTTGCATGCAGTTGCTTCAAAGAGGTGCATGAATATAACACTGAGATGTTGCTTGGGGATGGTTGCAGCTTATGTACAAGCTCTAGCTGTATAGCAGTGCTCATTATTTACTTTGTAATTTTTTTCTGTACCACAATAGAAACCTTACTGTCTCTTGCTATATCTAGAAGAGCAAACTGCTAATTTTCCCATTTCATAGGACTTAATTATCTCCGTTGCTTAAGGTTTTCTCTCTGTTTCTCTTTCACATAGTTCCTGGCATGGGGCCTCCAATTCCTGAAACCACTCATTCAAGCAAAAATAGTCAAATTCCTACTGGCAGATCTGGCTCTTCCACAAGCAAGCCTCATGTATCTGTGGAAACAACAGGAGGAAAGTGAGTAGCTTCACTTATTTAAAATGTGATTTTGTGGGAAGGTAGTGCTCCATCTTTTTCTTCACATATGCTTTTCCTCTGCTAGGCAGGATAGTTCTAGCTACCATAGAAAATAAGTTTTATAAATCTTTACTGGATAATATAATATAGTAAGGGCATTTGTATTCATGCCATTGCATTCTCTGTCCTGTGCCAATGATTAGTCATTTTAAAAAATATGTTAAATAAGGTTTGTTTGTTTAGAAAAACTGCCTAGCAGCAAGCTTCCTTGCAATATATTAAATGATCTTCATTTTTAAAAGCAACAACAACTTAGCAGCAACTTTTTGGTAGCTGGAATATATTTGGGTAGAAAAATAGGCTGCTGTTATTCTTCATGACTTAGTTCACTTCACCTTGGTTCATTCTGTCATAGGATAAGTGGTTCTCTTGAAGTTGACCTTTTGTACCTTTCTGTTGTGTAGCTGCTCTGACAGAAAAGTTGGCCAAGACCTGTGCAACCGAGCAAATGAAGCTGTGCTGGCAACTACAGGTGAGAGTCTCTATTATCCTGCACTATGCAAATATTGGAAATGCATCAAGCAAGCCAGGAGCATGAGTTGGAAGTATTGGTATCATCTGTATTTCTTTAATTACTAATGTTTCTTCCATGAATTGTCACTCCTTCTGAATGTTATCCAGTTTTCCGTGTTCTGTCTGTAGGTTGAACAGACAGATAAAATATACCTTTGTATATTATTAACAATTGGAGACCTTCTGTTTCTCCATAGTTTGCTCTAACAGTAGCCCTTTGTCCAGAGTATAGGTTATGCATTGGGATGATCGAATATTGTGGTACACTCATTTCTTGTAAACAATTCATTACTATCTCCTTTCTTTGAAAACTGAATGAATATTGAATGTTTCCAGTCTATGAATAGCTGTTTTGTTTTTATATTTAATGGTGTATTCTTGTTAGGATTTTAATAGATTGAATCTCTGTTAATATTCCATCTATACCTAATGACATATTGCGTCTTGCTGCTTAGAAGCTCTCAAGTCATTTCTTAAAATTTAAGATTCTTCAGAAAAGGATTCTTGTTTGAAGGAATCTGTCATCTTTTTTGTTGTTGTTCTAGTTCATTGCAATAAATTATTATAATGATTCCCTTTGGTACTACATGCAAGTTACTGAAAAGTTCCATTTAGGATTCTAATCTTATTTCTGTTGAATTTTACTGTTTCTTTTCATCTCTTGTTAACAATTTTAAGGGTTTTCTTTCATAATCCATTGTAACTTTTCTTTACTTTTGACTACCACAGTAGCGGGATATCATCTTTAACTTCTTTAGTTGGAGCATAATACTTCAATAAGTTATATTGATAACCTTTCCACAAAATCTGGTTTGGTCATGTTTTGTGCTGTGTATCCCTTCATTGTGTCTCCTTTTACTATTGAGAGTTTTGTTTTGAGTTTTTCATTTCCAGAATAAAACAATTAGTCATTGTCTGAATTAAAATGTCATTTTGCTTTCACTTTTCTTTGTCCACCCCAAATACTACAAGACCACTGGGAAGACCTACTGCTAGTCTGTCACGAAGAGCCAAGGTGGTCTTCTAAGCCAGACTTTCTGTTGTTAACCTTTATTCCTTGAAGGGATTACTGATCTATGATGGTATGATCTATGATTGTAGAGTCATAGAGATGTAAATGTAAAGGTTCCCCTTGACAATTTGTCCAGTCATGTCCAACTCTAGGGGCCGGTGCTCATCCCCGTTTCCAGGCTAGGGAGCCAGCATTTATCTGTAGACAGTTTCTGTGGTCATTTGGCCAGCGGGACTAGATACAGAATGCCATTACCTTCCCACCGTAGTGGTACCTATTTATCTACTCACATTTTAACATGCTTTCGAACTGCTAGGTTGACAGGAAGAGATGTGTCTACCTACCATTAAATAATGTATCTGTGCTTAATGTTTAATATTTTATGTTAACATTTTAATGACCAGAGTAGACTTTGGTCTAGATGGGCGGGGGAGAAATCAAATAAAAAATATGTTAATATGTTAATATGTTAATATTTTCTGAAAAACTCAACATGGTGCAAAAATACCAGATATGCAAAATATTTATTAAGGAAAATATATATTAATGACAGTGTTCAGATTGTCTGGTCAACAACACCTGCCATCCACATCAGTGCTGTCCATTGTGATGGAAGACCAATACCTCTTTATAGTAACAAGAGCATTTTCTGCTTTTGTTAACCATCTGTTCTCTTTCAGGTGAAGGGCTACATGTCAGTTATGTTATTGGAGGACTTCTTAGTATCTTGATCATTCTGTTGATAGCTGGTGCTATAATTATATACAGGTATGTACCTTGCTCTCTTTTCATTCCACTAGCTTTATGAATTTATCAGCTGGGTGAAACACTTCCAAAAAAAGGCCAAGCCTTTCTTTCTATGGTTAAAAAAATGTTTCCCTGGACCCTCTAAGGTTCCCTCTAAGGTGCATATGCACATGTGCAGCAGCAGCCGGTGTCAATGTCTGCTTACTTCTGGGTTTTAGATGAAATATTGCCCATGCACAGATGGGCGAGGCTCCCATACGGCTGATGAAAATTAGAGGGAACATTGCATTGGACTAAATTCCAGAGGAAGTAGCCTTGTTAGTCTGCAACAGCAATACGTGATGTGCTGGTATTCTTACAGACTAACTGTAGAAATAGACTTACAGTCTACATGGGGTTAAGAAAACCAAATAAAAAGAAAGGGCGAATGTCGTGAATTCACCAGTCTTTATATCCAGCTCCTTCCCCCCTTGGCTCTGCCTTCCGTTCACTCATTGGCTCCTGCGTCAAGGTTTTGCGGTGCCGGGCAGGTGAGGGCAGGGCTGTTCACCACAGCAAATAATTGTATCTGGATAATGATGACTATGATGCTGATATTCCCAAGTTACTGTTCTTAATGTTAGTGGCCACTCCTTTTCTATTTGTCTCTAAAAATGTCAGCATTGATTATAACAGAGATGGGCAATTGTGGTCCTTCTAATGGCTAGGGTCTGATGGAAGTTTTAGGCCAGAAACATCTAGAGGGCCACTCTTGCCGACTCTTGGATTACTTGTTACACAATAGAGCAACTAATGCTCAAGTTCATGTCTCCCCTGTAGAAAGCATTGACCTCACTATCTCTCATACATGTTTTCTTGGGAATCATCCGTAGAAATCTAGTGCAGTTTGCACATGCCTTCATTTGAGTCATGCGTACTGGCCCTTTGAACCTTTTGCATGAAAATGATTCTCTCTGTGAGTGAACTTGCCCTTTCCCCCCACTGGCATAAATGGAAAGAAACCTTGCTTCTGTGCACTGGTGTGGTATAAGTATATAAACAATATGGACATGAGGAATGTCTCTGATGAAACTGATTTTTTGGGGGGGGGTTAAATAAGAGAAATATGCACTACAGATTATGTTTTTTGCTGGTTTTCTGGGGTGGGGCTTTAGCTGTAGAACTTTCAAATTGCAGTTAGGAAATGCATTCTGTCTATTGACAATAGATGTTGTGTTTCTGTAGACACAAGAAATCCAAGTTCACAGATCCTAGCTTAAGTAATCTTACCTACAGTAACCCATCTTACCGGACATCGACTCAAGAGGTGAAGATTGAAACAGCTCCCAAGCCTGCCATGTATAACCAGTTGTGTTTTAAGAAGGAGGTAAGAGATGCTTTCATAGGCTAAGATATCTTTGTTAAGCACTTGCAGTATTAAGAACCAGTTCTCAATAGGCCTAGTTAATTTGCCCTGCTCTTAGATGATTTAATCAGCGTACTCTAAAGCACTGGTTCTTAACCTTGGGTTACTCAGGAGTTTTGGACTGCAGCTCCCAGAAGCCTTTACCACCAACTGTGCTGGCTGGGGTTTCTGGGAGTTGCAGTTCAAAAACATCCGAGTAACAAAGGTTAAGAACCACTGCTCTAAAGAACTGTGTGTTTTACCTCCCATTATTAGAAGACTATTGAGCAAGCTCAGACAGGTCAACCAACACTATATTTTGCTGGTTTGACTGCAGTTCTCTGATCTCCATGAGCTGCTGATGACTGTCGCCAACTCAAATCCCAGTGCCACGTGTGGCCTTTTCTGTTTAGTAAGCATTCAGTAGTGGAAGGATATGCCTGTGCAGTGTACAGATCATTGGTAGGCAACAGATGAGGATTTTTTTGCATTAGTAAGGTGTCACTGTTGGGCCATAGGTGGTTGCAGGACACTTAGTCTCTGCTTTGTCTTTCCTCTTCAGCAGTTTTCTCATCCCTCTGATAGTCTTGCACCATTCCTCTTTTGACCTGCCCACAGCCTCACAGGTATCACATTGCTGTATTTGTGCAATCTCTACTTACCTTATTCCTGTACTGATGAATGGCCTGCTGCTGTCTTGCATTACTTGGTTGCTTCTCTCTCTCTGTGTTTGTGTGGGTGCGTGCCCACACCCATACCTGTGTGCCCTAAAATACCTCGGCTGCCTTTGAGTGTTGGTAAAGAAGAAAAGTTGTTCCTAGTGCAGGCTCCTTGATGTTTACATTGGCTCTCCAATTTTATACAGCTTAGGTTTGTTTAGTTTTAATGTTCATACTCCATGATGATGCATATGCAGAGTATGGTCAGCTGAAGAGGTCCTTCTCTGGTGAAGCATAGGAAAGTCTTTATTACTGTAAATAATGTCACTTTCCCCTTTCCCCTGTCCAGCTCATGTGTATTTCACTGCTTTTATGAGAGTTTTCCTAAGTCTTTTGATCTAATAACACAATTGTTGAGATGATTGTTTTGTGTAACTTTCTAATTCTAGTGTTTATGCCCTTCTGACTTCTTTGTTATGTTGTGTTAACTTAATCTGGCTTGTGTCCTACTCAAGTATTAATAATATTTTACATTATTTTCTACAGCGGTACCTCAGTTTACGAACGCCTCAGTTTACATAACTTTCGGTTTACGAACCGAAATCCATAGAAGATAATGCTCCAGTTTACGTTTTTTCTACCTCCCCCAATTATACTAAAGGGTTTCCCCAGGACACATTGTGCCTGGAGATTTCTAGCGATGCCCCCATTCCTAGCACAATCCGTGTTTTGGTTTACAAAATTTCCGTATTACGTAATGTCCCGGAGGACACATTAATTTCGTAAAACGAGGTACACCTGTATATGCTGAGCACAGGAGGAACTTGTCAACTAACAGCAGACTGTCTTTCTGAGAGTCTTTGCCTTTGCCTTTTCATCATCTATGCTGAATCTCGGTCTCCTTCTTGAATGCTTGTTTTTGAATGCATTGTTTCTGTTTTTTGTTTTGTTTTTGTTTTTACTTTTCATGGCTTTGGATATATTACTGGTTACCTTTCCCTCAGTATATTCACCTTCTATATTATTCTGTCTTTCCATCACCTGAGGGAATGTACAGTTTGCCACAGAATTTTTTGTAACAGGTGATCTGCTAGATAAAGGATTGCACACCTCTTGTAGTTAGTATCTCCTGCTGATTTATAAATGAGATAAATTACCTGTTTTGGTATTCAGATGTGGTGAGGCAAAACAGTTGCTTTCCTCTTTGTTCCATTCCTCAGATTCTGCTCAGTTTCTCTAGTGGTCTTATGTTTTTCTTCTTTTTCTGCCTAATATTGCCAGAGAAGTTTGTTGGTTACTTTTCCTCAGTAAGCATTTAATAGCTTGTTTGCTGCTTGTCTGGATCATTTAGATTAGTGTTGCACAACCCAGTGCCATCCAGATGTGTTCAGTTACTTCTCCCACAACCCTCAGTCCTGGGAATGAATGATGCATCTTTTTATCCAACGCAACTGAGAAATGTTGGGTTCGGGAGATCTGGCACAGGTGGAGCAGTGAAGGTTTGGTGATGGGCAAGTTGGAGAACAGGAACATGAAGACAGTGCCCTTCTGCTTCTTTCCGGTTGTGTGATCTGACCTGTTCAAAAGGCAGGTGCCAGTCTTTCACTAGTTCTTTATGCTTTCTCCGTCAACTTTGTACGTCTCATGTTATTGTCTCTGTCTGCAGGCAAGCTCTGATCAAAACTACACCAAGGAAAAGATCAAAATTGTAGAAGGAATTTGCCTTTTGTCCAGTGATGAATCTGAATGGGATGACCTCAAACAGATACGGAGCTCTCGAGGATGTATTCTCCGTGACCACGTCTGCATGAAGACTGACACAGTCTCTATCCAAGCCAGCACCGGGTCACTGGATGACACTGAAACTGAGCAGCTGCTGCAGGAGGAGCAGTCTGAGTGCAGCAGCATCAACGCAGCAGCTACCCCTGAGCGTCATGGCTCTCTTCCAGACACAGGATGGAAGCTTCAGCGCAAACCCTCAACAGAAAGTGAAGTTTAAAGCACAAACAGAGATGCTTGTCCCTCCTTCTCTGTCATTCGCTCTGATGATACAGGATCTTGCCCACTATTCAAGGAGGAACTCAGAGACTTCCCTCTATTTCATTTGGACCCCAGAGACTGACTTGGGTGAGGAGCCTGAGTTAGTTTGTGCCTTTGAGACTGATGGGACACAACTCAGAGACCCTTTTTTTGGCTCATTGTTAGTTTATGTTTATTTATATGTCCTCTGTTTCTAAAAGCTGTGGTGTTGAATTCAGCAGGATCTTTTCTCAGCTGACTCTGATACAGCTTTCATTCAGTCCCAAGTATACACGCTGGCCAAGGATTCTGCACTGCTGGTGGCCAAAATTACTGAACTTGTCCAATCCTGATCCCTGTTGCCTTCCTTCCAAGGCTTTTGGCACTAACTGGATTTTGCACTGCGTTCTTCCTTCTTTAAGGGGAAATGGTTGGGGCCAGCAGAGGTTGCATGGCGTGAGAGAAATGATGTGAGTGATTATCAAGTTGCTTTAGCAGATACCTGTACAAGGAGAGCTGTAGTTTCATTTCAGGGGTCAGTAAAATATCAACTTTCAAGCTATGGGAAACACCCCAATCCAATACTTGCTATAAGAGTAAAGCAGTCAGTCTGTTGCTGGCAACAGAAATTGCCTGTGCTGTGCCCAGTTTTTTGTACCAGGGTGCCCACTCTCTTCCTAAAACATAACTTTGCCTTTTGCAAATAGAGCTTTCACATCTGTTCTCTGTGGATCTCACTTTTATTGTGCTTCTGATGAGGTTTGAGTTGCAAGGAATATGCTGGATACCATGGCTTTCTATTATACGTCTTTCCTATGCTTGTAAGCCCCTCTTCTGGAAGTGTGTGCTACTGAAAACAATGTAAGGCTGTTTATTATTTTTATTTTTAACCTGAACTCGGATTCAACAAGAAATATATTCAGAACTTCATCTGCAGTGTGTTGCTGGATAAACCCAGTAGGGGGCTTACTCTTAAGTCCCCCCCCCCCAGTGTTTGGTTTTGGAAGTTCTGGAAGAAGATATTTGTTCACGTCTTTTTCTTTTGTTTGCTATATACCTCAGCAATGAAAATATGATGTTCAGAAGTAGGTGTGTACAATTGAAAGGTAATTATTAGAAGTGAGAAGGCATGGCAGGCAGGTAGGTAATCCAGCAAGAGACACACTATGATTGTTGTAGTCTTTCTTCACTGCACCTAATCACTAATCTTTTCATGCTACAAGAAGGAGCCTTAGAATGTTTGATGTGTTGCAATTTGTGTTACAAATACTTCTTGCACAGGATTCAGAGACTATTAGGCAATTCAAGACTTAAATCACAGACAAGTCCTTCCCAGAACCAGTAGCTACAGTGTTTATTTTCCAGGAAAATGTGGCACTATCATCCACTGTAGTGATGCAAATTCCTCCTCTGTGGGGTGTGTGATGATTAATGAACAATGCACAGCCTTTGGTTGTGTGAATGTTCCTACACCTATATCATTTTGTTCAATTTAGAAGGAAGGACACAGGAAAATTATGTGAAGGGCTCCAACAAGGATTTGTCCATTTCTCCTTTCAAACCTGCATCATTAAACTTGTGGTTTTCCCCTCCAAAAGTTATTTGGAGGCTGTTCCTCCAGGTTTTTTTTTTCACCACTGGACCTTTTTTCACCGCCTCCCACCTTTCTTGCTTTCCCTGTGTAACAACTCTGTATTGCTGTCAGTAAGGGACTCCCGCTCCCATTTTTCCAACTGGGCATACTACTTTACGTGCCAGCAAAAAGCAATGTATGTGTGTACACAACCATATACTTACATATATCAAAGGAGTCTGTTCACTAGAGAGCAAGCATTGGTTGTAGAATAGCAGTTATTTTGGCTGCTGCTCACGGTGTATGGGAAGCAATTCTAAGTAGCACACCTTTGTCACAGATGTATGCTTAAATGTTTCTCTGCTATGGCTCAGTCATTAGGATGTAAGTTCCTACATTCTTCCATCAAAAGCCTACTTGTTCTTGCCTAGTCTAATACAGCCCCTGAGCTGTGTTTTCCCATGTGAGACTACTGCCTATGGTTAACTGTTTTGCTATTTAGTGTACACTGCTTTTCAGCATTTGTTGCATTTGCTTCCTTAGTTAGCTGGCAAATGATCAATAGACTATAATTTAATATTAGTCTGTCATAGCATAAACAGAAAAGAATTACAGTCAACCCTCGACTTACAAACTTAATCCGTTTAGGAAGGAAGTTTGTAAGTCGAAAAGTTTGTAACTCAAATCAGCATTTCCCATAGGAATGCATTGAAAACCAGTTAACCCATTCCTGCTGTTTTTGGTTCTTAGGTCGAGGGGCAGTTTGTAAATCGAATCATTAGTTTCCATGGGAACTAATGCAAAGCCGGTTAATCCGTTGCTACCACTAAGGAGAGAATGTGTTTTTTTGTTTTCCTTTTAACCTAATATTACTTAGGTTTTTAAAAAAGGAAGGAAAAGAGTTCAGAACTCGAATCTAAGTTCACAAGTCGAGCCCATATATTCTTATGAGAGCGGTTCGTAAGTCGAAATGTTTGTAACTAGGGCCGTTCATAAGTCGAGGGTTGACTGTTATTATGGCAGCTGAAGGACTAACATTTGTTATAGCAAAACCAGCAATGTGGCTCTTGAAGACTTAACAAGAGTTATTTGGCGTAAGCTTTTGTGGACTATAGCCCACATCTTCAGTCCTTGTTTCCACTATTTCTCATCTGCATTCAGCCTCTCCAGAACCATTCCTTTCCCCAGCCAGATTTCTTGTTTTAGAGCCTGGTTGGGAAGAAAGACTAAAAACAAGGGAGGGATTCGTGGAGAGGGGAACAATTTGGGGCACCATCTATTCCTCTAATTTTTGCCACCATATTCTCCATCCTGACCATGCACTTAGCACTGCAAGGGAAATACAGTGTTCAGAACCACTGTCTCTTTGTTAATGCCTAAATCCACTCCTTTGCAAACTTTCTGTTTTTCATCAGTTTCCAGTTTCTGTCCTTTCCTGAAAGCTGACCCCCCACCCATGGCTGGTTCTTTATTTTGGTCTAATATTTTAGTTATGTCCATGTTATCAGCTTGCTTTCCTCTGCCTACTTCTGAACAACTGGATACATTCCCCAAACTGGATACATGTATCCAGTGGTTTGGGACATGGACCCCCATATAATGATGGGGGGATGTATCCAGTGATTAAATGGTGTTCTGTGAAACATGGAGCAGTAACACGAACAACAGTGATGTTTACTATTCATTTGGGAGAAAAGCCGTATAGAAGAATCATGGTAGCTATATACAGTATTTTTGTCTTTTCACTGATGGAGGGATTATGGATTAAATTACTGAACCTTGGTTGATTTTCATTCCTATGAAGTGTTGGCTACAATTGGGACATGGACCTATCTTTGTGTTTATTATGGGCTTTCCCACTGTTGCCAGGGGAGAATGTATTAGATTTTAATTTAATTATATTTATTTTAGTTGTATCCAAATGTTGTGGTCTTGTCCACTGAAACTTCCTCAGATTGAGGAATGAGGAAGCAAAGTTTTAGCAAGGGATATGGATTTAAAAGTAGCTCTGCAAAATTAAGACCCTTATGCATTTGGGGAAAGAGTGTAAGAAATATCAGTCTTGTGACATTGGTAAGGGGAATGAGGATGTGGTGAAATTTTGAACATAGCCAGTAGAATCTAGAAGAACAATCTTATTGAAAATGGGACTGGGAAAAAGTATTTGAGAATAACTGTGTCCTTCCGGCTGAGGAAATGCAGCTTCAGCAGAGCACCAATGTGTTTGCAACTCAGCTATACAGTACTTGCCTCCCCTTGAAAACACTCTCCTTGTTCTTGGTAAGACACTTTCTGTGGTACATTCCAGTTGTTAGACGTCTCTGTTGAACTGCTTTCTCCAGACTTCTCCAAACTCTTCATCTGATTCTTCTGCTGTATAATTAGCAGGAGTCAAAGTGGCTGCCAGGAATTGGAAGGATGGCACCTATATAGCTTTTTGCCCACTTGTGAAGTAAGCAAGAATGAGATTTCCTGTTCTCTCATGCACAAGCAAGCTTTGGGCAATGCTGCTGCTGGTTTTGGGGCTCTTCGCTTGCACGCTGAAGAAGAAAAGTCCTATTGCACTGGGACTTTACAGAATGGGAAAAGGCCAGAAGTGCACTGATTTACTATGTAAAAAAGCAAAGATTTCTCTTCTGTCTGTCCTCGGCTAATGGAAACAATGTCCCTGTGTTTCTGTGTAATGGTTTTAACAGTACTCACTGGAAAGAATTGATTTTTTCTGGAGTTATTTAACCACTATGTTCAGTATTTTAGGCAATGATGATGATAATTTAATATAAATTTAGCTTTTCTTAATCATTCTGCTTTTTTGAGTTTTGAATCATAAATGTTACCTGTGCCTGAGTCCAAAAAAGATCCTATAGAACCTGATCACCTTTTAAGAAACAGTTGAATTGGGAGCTGTGTGAAAACTGGGGAATGGAGACTGGTTTGGTGGCACTTCTGCACATTGAAGTTCTAATATGTCTGAAGCTCAAATCCATGGGATTACTACTTGGGTATAAATTTGAACAGTGCTTCAGATAGTTTCTTTTTTAGACCAAACCTCCCAGAATTCTTCATCCACCAGCTACAGGATAGGAAGGGGACAAGAACATTCCTTGTCCTGAGTCAGCAGGGCTTTGAGAGGTAGTGGTGAACTCCGGCTGGCATTTGATCAAAATTCAGCAGATTCCTCCAATGTATGTAAACTGTGTTTTTCAGGAGTCCTATGCTGGCCCTGTCAATCAACATATTTACAGCATCACCAAAGGACAAACTACAGGGTATGGGGCATTTGTAGCACAACTTGTAAAAATAAATCCAGCACTCTTTCTAGAAATCCTTTTTGTCAGGGCCAGACACACCTATCCTGTCATCTGAGGCAGGGAGCAAAGCATCGTAACACCACTTGTTGTCATCATTCCAAGCACCACCTTCTCCCGCTCTTTATCCAACAGTGGGAGATGGCACTGCCTTCTTCCTCTTCCTAATCCTCCTACATCTAATTATTATGTTGGAAGGGGTTACTGGCTTTGCCATTGTTGTTGCCTTCAGTGGCAGGACGATGCCTTCCTTTCATATGAGATAGACTGGCTGGCATGCTGCAAACATGGTTGTTCACAGGCCATCCTGAGAAGATGCAGGGATGGGAGCAGTGCATTCACTAGTCCCAGCATCCTGCTACCTGAAGCAGATACCCTAATGTTGGGGCTGGCTAGCTGATTATTAGATGTGGACTTATTCAGATGCTTTATCTATATATGGGAACGCATGAAAATTTGGACCTTATTTAGTTGTTACCTAATTGTAACCAACATGCTTAGAGAGGAATGTTTAGTCTCTCTGCCATCTCTTCCTTCATATAGAGCGAGTTGTGTCTGAAGTGGGAGGAATTCCAGCTCATGTGTAGGCTGTAAAATTTGGGTTCTTTCTCAGTGTAGAAACTACACATGAGAATAAGAGTTTCTCCTCTTCAGATATGTCAGTCTCCATGTGGAGAAAGGGATGAGGGAGAGGAGAGGGATTAGTCATACTTAAGTGTGTTGATTACAGCTGAGCAGGGGATGTCCTAGAGCAGAGGTCTCCACACTTTTCAGCATGAGGACCACATCTTATATGTGCCACATTTTTGAGGGCTGAAGGAATCCGCACACATGTATGCACACACACTGAGTTGGATAAAGGCAAGGCAGGCCAGATGTGGCCTGCAGGCCATAGTTTGGAGACCCCTGTCCTAGAGCTTTGTTAACTTTTATTTAGTTGCAAATAGAGCACTAAATATTGGTTACTTACTAATTCTGGGTTGGAGATTGAAAGAAGGGAAAATTCTCAAGCCTCCTGGGTATATTTCATTTATTCGTATCACATAAAGTAATATTACTTTTCTTTAATCAGTCAAAAGGGGGGAAGGAAGCTTTGTTCTGTCTTGATAAGCTGGAATTCCTGCTTTTTCTACAGTAGACTTACTATCTGCTGCTTAGGGATATAAATATTATCCTCATGAGTTAAGAAGACAGAACCTCTTTTCCTGATAACATCTGAAAACAAGAGTTGGCATTACCTTCATTAGACCATACAAATCTTGTTAAATGGGCTAGCTTTTAAGTCATCTCAGATTATTTACACAGTCTGCGCATTACAAAGCTGGGGAGGTGTAGAAGAAGCAGAAAAGTAACAAAAATCGTAAGGGCCAAATTTTGAGTCCAGGTTTTATTGTTTTAAGCAAGTTCCAAAATAGAATCTACAGCCTTACAAGGTTACTTTGAGGTGGATGGTTTCACCTCAGGTGGTGCAGATTTCATAATCTTTTCCTATATTTGTAGACATGGTACTGCCACTCACTCAGCGCTGCCACCATTGCAGCTCCTTTTTTACTGGGAACGGAGGCACCTCGAAACATGGCGATCCCCATATCAAACAAGCCTGAAGTAAAATTTAGTTAACACATGAGGCAAAAGACAGCCAATTGCAGCCAAATTAAGAGGATTACCCAGTGGCTAGAGGAAGATGTGCTCAGTTCGGAGCAGTCTTTTTAAAGTAATTGTAAATGTTCTTGTCTTATAGATCTTGCCCTAGTGAGCTGTTTAGAGTCTCTTCCATAATCCAGTAAAAAAAAAGAAAGAAAAAAAAAGAAGAGGCAGTATGATCCTACATCTGCATTGCTAGATGTAAAATCTGAAATCTGTCATCTCAAACTGTTCCTAAAGATTGTAGTTTCCATTGTGGAATTTGCTCTAAACAACAGAGCCTGACCTCAGCATTGGGTCATAATTATTTGGGGGACTTTTCTGTTTCTTCTGTAATCTCTCACCCAACCTGTTAATGCCCAGTCTGATTAAGAGTCCTGCAGAACTCAAAAGCTAGCCTGTGAGATTTTAGGGGTCCAAAAGGTCTCACAAGCTTGTTTTTAGATTGTCTACAAGGAACACATTACTTTTCTCTTTTTTCTAACAAAAATGAAAAGATCCAAATATTCTGATACTGGTCCCATTGAGTAACAATGTGGATAAAAACTTATTTAAATATATACATTCGATACATTTATATATTTAATA